CACCACTGGCTTTATATACCACTTCCCTCCCTCGCAATTGTTTTTAGTATTCTCAAATTAATAAGTGACTCTGCCTTGTTTTGGGGTTTATGTGCTAACCTAGTTGTAGCTCAGGGGTTCTGACTGTTTCTTTTTTGTGGGAGAGGGGTACCAGAGATCAAACACAGAACTCTGTGTTTGCCGAGCAGGCACTTACGCTGCTGAGCTAAACCGCCGGCAACTGTTTGATTTTTTAATACTGTCACTAGTCCAGTCCAGCACTGTGGCATGTTCCCAGCTACTTGGGTAGAAGAGGCCGGAGAATCACAGCAGAGGAGTTTGGGGCCGGTCTGGGTAACATGCCCCCTCCCCTGTCTCTTCATTTTTTCTTTTTTACTTTTATTTATTTAAAAGTGCGCTTTCCAGGCAGGCGCTTATACCACTGAGCTAAATCCTCGGCCCTCCCCCATCTCTTTAAAAAAAGCAATAAAACAGAACCAAAAAATCCACTGGCCAAAAGGTCTGTCTGACTGGTACGAAAGGACAACCTAAACCAGGCGTAATGACACACACCTGTAATCTCAGCACTCAGGAGCCTGAGCAGGAGAATCCTTAAGAGTTTGAGACCAGCCTGGGCTACAGAGTGAGCTCAAGGCCAACCTGAACTGCCTAGTGAAACCCTGTGTCAAAAAAACTAAATAAATAAATGAATAAATAAAAGGCAAACTAATCTCTCCAAGTTTGAATCTTGCATGGCTTTCTATCCTGTTATCTCTATGCACTGTGGATACTGTTTATTATAGAATTCATGATGCCTACTTTGTTTTTTGAGATGATTTTAACTTCTTTGGTTTGCAAATCTTAGAGTTGTTTGTTTGGTTTCTTTTAATGTTCAGTTCTCTTAAAGCCATTAATAAAAGCAATAATTAACCTTCAAGGAAAGGTTAACTCTAAATCTGCTTACCTGATACCTGACTTTTAATATATAATATTTTAGCACTAGGAAAAGCTAATATATATTTACTATGTACCTGAGGGGGAGGTTTAACTCTGCCTCAGTTTTCTCAAAATAGGATGAAGAACTATTTCATGGAGAAAAATGTACCCAGATTAACCGAGTTCACAGTCCATCATGGTGATTGCACTCAAATGTTAACTATTATTAATAATGATACAGTGAAGATTTGGAAAAAGATTAAAGGGCAGAGGGCTGGGAATTTAGCTCAGCAGCACAAGCACCTGCCTTGTAAGCGCGCAGTCATGAGTTGGATCCCTGGGACCAAAAAAAGAAAGAAAGAAATTAGCAAGATTAAAGGGCAGACATTATGTTCAGTGAAATCTGTTTTTTCTGGTGTTTTATAAAATTTAAGAGTATGACCTGCTACCACTTATTTAGTCACTGTGGTTGGAGATAGCACAGCTGTTGTTGAGTTCAGGATACCAAGAATGTCCAGGACTGGCTGAGTATGGTGGCCCACACCGGTAATCCCAGAATTTGGGAGGTTAAGGGAGGAGGATCTCTGAGAGTCCAAGGCCAGGTTGGGCTGTATGTAGAGTGAGCTCAAAGCCAGCCTGAGCTCCACAGTGAGACCGTGTCTCAAAAAACCAAAAAGAAAAGGAATGACTACATTGAGTAGACTCTAAATGCTTAACTATCAAAAGCAGTAATCTAGTTCTAGTTTGATATACCTAGTCTTTCTCCGTAATTCAGTTCTTGAAATTTTCACACACTACTTGGAAGACTGGCAACAAATACTTCTTGCTTAGTTTGGTACTGGCTTAGCAATTAGCTTCAATTTTAAACTATAACTTTGATAGCTGAAAATAATCCTGCTCATTTAAAAGTAACAATGGATGGGTGGTAAGTTGCTCATCTACTTTTGGTATTGAGAATCTACAAATAAGAGGGCTGTATGTGCGTGTTACTTTTCAGTAAAAATGTTAAAATTGACAATTACAAAATGATGCAATAGATGAATACAATGTAAATGTTCCATGTAGCCTTTATATGTATTTGCAACACAAGAGGTGAGTTCTAAATGACCCACTTAAAGTTTGTGGCCCTGAGGTTGATAGGGATATCGCTCAGAGGGAAAATACATGCTTTGCATGCACAAGGCCTTGGGCCCAATCCCCAGTAGCAAAAAATAAAAATTTAAAAATTGATGTCTTTAGGCTGGGGATTTAGTTCAGTGGCATAAGTACTACTGGCATAAATACTTGCCTGGCAAGCTCAAGGTTGTGAATTTGATCCCTGGTACTAGAAAAAATATTTTGATGTATTTAATGCATTTGGTAGAGTTTCAGTGCCCTTTAGGAACTTGTGTTTTGGCCTTACACATTCTGTTTTGTTAAAGTAGGAAGTGATTTCAAGTAGCAGTTTCTTTATTGTTAAGTCCCCTTATTCCTCACAGTTGTACTGACATACCTTGTTTTCCTTTTTAAAATCTATTAAAGAGACTCACACATTTTCTACTCTACAAAGATGTCTCAGACATGAAGAAAGTAATATATTTAACAAAAATCAATAGTGGAGGCTTAAATTAGCACTATTGAGCTGGGTTGGTGTGGTGGTGCACACCTATAATCCCAGCAGTTGGGAGGCTGAGGCAGGAGAATCACTGTGAGTTTGAAGCTGGCCTGGGTTACATAGGAAGACCTTGTCTGAAAAACAAAAATAAGCCGGGGATATAGCTCAGTGGCACAGCACCTGCTTGGCAAGTGTGAGGTCATGAGTTCGATTCCTGGTACCTAAAATAAAGGACTACTGAATTTTCAGAAAGTCATGAAAAGTATAATACTGGAAAAGACATACTATGTTCATGGAGGGGGGACATATTCAACCCAGCTACCAAGTTTATGATCAGTGTTATGGATTAAGAACTGGTGGTCAATTTAACGGCAGCTGGATTATATCAGCATGGCATTGAGCGACGATGCTCACCTGAGGAAAGTTGCCAGGATAAATAGGTGGAGAAGAAAGGAGGCGTTGAGGGTTGAGGCATTAAGGAGTCATTGTGGGTTCTCCTACAAGTTGCTGTCTGAGCTGCTGGTTCTCCTGGAGAAGCCTTGGTCCTCACATCGAGCATTGCTTCCGGGCTCCGGAGGGGAAGACGTGTGCTGGTTGGTCTCCAGGATGAACTTGTCACACTGCTTCCTGGCATGTGCTGACTGTACTTGTTGTCGGAGGAGCTCAAGGCCTCCATGTTGCCGAGGACAGCTGTGGTGCCTTTCAGGATAGCCCTGCTCTTTGTTGTGAGTGTGACTTCTCGGCTCCAGCGTAGAACCCTCATCCCACTAGCACAGCTCCTTCATCCTGCTGGCATAGACTTTCTGGCTTCCACCTCTGACCCTTGGGTCTTCCCAGCACGGATCCGTAAAGAGACTGGCGTGAGTCCTTCTTGTGGGCTCTGGGCCTCCAGTTGGACTCGTGGGAGGCATTGTCCTAAGCTCTGGGTTTTTATCTGGACTCATGTGGGACATGTGCTGTGGGGTTTAGGCCCTTGACTAAATAATCTATGTCTTTGGTGTTGTAGATAGATTTCCTGCATTTTCCTGTGTTAACCCCGGTACCCATTATAAAAATATTATAAACTCCATGTCTTGATCCAATTGTTCTCTGTGTCTAACCCCTGACTACAACAATCAACTACATTCGGTTCCATCCATTTACTAAAACCAAAGGTCCATTTTCTTCCTTTTGATTGTTTTTCTTCTCAGCAGTTTTGCCAAATAATAAGCTTATTAAAAATGAGCAAAACTAGGAAGGTTTTGAATTCTTGTGTTTGGCTAAGATCTTGCTTTTTCTATTTCTCTGCCTGCCCTATCTTTATAGTAGGTCACAAGGTCCTGTTTGCTAGGCAGGAATCAAATATCACTCTCCCTGGCCTATAGTACTTATATCATAACCTGCAGAATAGGAAACTTTAAAAATACTAGCTTATTCCTGCAGCTCAAATATGTGTGTGTACCTGGCTGATAATGCTTCAGACTCACATGGAACTCAAATCAGCTCCCGTCTTGCAGGACCTCCTTGAGTAGACTGCCTGGAAGTTCCTGTAACCTGCAAGAGTCCCTGTTGCATCTCTCCTGTAGGCGTGGTCGCTGTTGCATAGGGTTGCTGCTGAAGATCCAGGCCCTTGAGTGCTCTGCCACAAGGCCCTGCTTGGTCTCTGCTCCCCCATCTCGGTCCCCTCTCCATGCCCTCAGTCTCACTTCCTCCTGCCAGCTCCCTGCTGGTCTCCTTCCGTTCTGGTGGAACAGAGCTCACGCCCTCCCGCCCTCCTGAGGGCCTTTGCTTTTTCTGCTCTCTTTGCCCAGATGTCTGCACAGCTTACTTCCTGGTTTTACTCAAGTTCTTGCTCAGATACAACCCTACCAGAAAGGTATTTCCTGACATCCCATGTAAAGTAACATTCTCACTTGGCTTGGTGGTGTCCCCCTGGAATCCCAGAAATCAGGAGGCTGAGGCAGGAGGATCACAAAGAGTTTGAGACCAGCCTGGGCTTCATAGTGAGTTCAAGCCAGGCTGAACTATATAGTGAGACCCTGTTTCAAAAAGGGGTGGGGCATTCTCTTCTTTACCCAGCTTCAGTTTTTCTTTTTGCACTGTTTAAACATATGCATATAATTTGTATTTGCCCACAAAGTCTCCAAAGTCTTTGAAAAGAGGAACTTTATTCTGTTCACTGTATTGCACCAAAGCACATGGACAACATTCATCATATAGTAGATACTAGATTTTGGGGGACAGGATTTGAGAGGAGATCTTGCTTCGCAGTACAGGCTTCGAAGCTTTACTTTGCTCCTCCTTGAGTGTTAGATTACAGGCATGTGCCACCATGTATATGAAGGTACTAGATGTTTAACAATAAGCTGCTGTTAAGAACAATATTTCATTAATAAACTGCCCTTATAATTTCTCCTAACAACTTCAGAAATTGCCATTTTGCTTGAGGAGCGCTTAGATTTTCTGGCAAATGAACCAAAACTAATTCCCCATGATTTTTCCCCTCTTGTAGGTTTCAGCGTGGCACAGAAGCCATTTGGAGCCACATATGTGTGGAGCAGCATCATAAACACTCTGCAAACGCAAGTGGAGGTCAAAAGGCGGAGGCATCACTTAAAACGCCACAACGACTGCTTCGTGGGCTCGGAAGCTGTGGATGTCATTTATTCGCATCTCATTCAGAATAAGTACTTCGGTGACGTCGATATTCCCCGGGCCAAAGTGGTGAGAGTGTGTCAAGCACTGATGGACTATAAAGTATTCGAAGCAGTTCCAACCAGAGTCTTTGGCAAAGACAAAAAACCTACATTTGAAGATAGTAGTTGCAGCTTGTATAGATTCACAACAGTCCCTAACCAACACAATCAGTTAGGCAAAGAGAACAAACTACATCCACCTTCCAGGTTAGTATAAAATGCCAGATTATCTTGGGGAAGTTGGGATTATCTTTGTTTTTTTTTTTTTTTTTAAGATATAGACTGGCTTTATATTCCTCTGTCTGCATATATGTAGCTCACTATGTAACCCAGGCTGGCCTCAAACTTGTGGCAATCCATCTGCCTCAGCATCCCACGTGCTGGGATGACAGGCATGCCCCACCACACCCACAGACTGATTTTCCATCCCTCAAGTTGCAGTTGACAGTGTGAAGACTGTTAGTGCATACCTCTAATTCCCACCTGCTTGGGATGCTGAGGCAGGAGGATTTTACATTCCAGGCCAGCCTAGGCAATTCAGCAAAATCAAAAAATGAGTAAATATGCACAGTGGTATGAAAACAAATCTAGATGGTAGTGTATCATAGAAGCGTGGAGGGTGTATGGGCATCAGCAGGCTGAGGGCTTCATAGGGCATATGAGTGAGTTAGGGGTTTTATTGTGTTTGAGACAGGATCTTGCCTTGTTGCCTGAGCTGAGCTTCAGCTCCTGGGCTTATGTGATCCTCTTACCTCTGCCTCCCAAGGAGCTGGGACCACAGACACAGGCACATCCCTGCCCACATAGTTGGGAATTTGTACTCAGTTACAGAGGTTCTGGGTAAGGTGCAGAAAGATGAGACTACACCTTAGAACGGGCCCCCAGGCTGGGGATGTGATCCGCAGTGAGCCCCAAAAAGAAAGGCAAGGCCTGCTTAGCAGTTGTGTGGTCTATAGGAAGAGCTGGTTAGGAATCAGCTGCAGTCACAATTACAGAAAATAAGAGCTGCATGGAACAGTGTGGGGGAAGAAAGAGGATCATTCAAAGGAAGACTGGGAGGGGGTTGAGGGGACAGAATTGTGGGACCCATGATTGGGGTGATGACGAGTGATGCTACCTAATGAACTCGGTTGCTTATCAGGTAATGGAGACAGCTTTACCTGTCCCCTCGTTCTCCGGCGGACTGGAGAGGTGGCACTGTCCTTTGAAACTGTTACAATTTAGATCTGACCCACAGGGTTTTAGTATACTGAGTTTTCAAATTTTGTGTGTATGGTACTTCAAATGTGCTAAAATGTCTCTCTATATTCAGGAAAGAAATCTGAAGAAAAGTTAATGTGTGCCTCGGTGTCCAGGAAAGAAGCTTGAGGAGAACAGAGAGCATGGGCCACTCTTTTTAAGATACAGTTCTCCTGTTTTATTTGAAACTCTTGGGACCAGAAGCATTTGTAGGTTTTAGAAGGGTCATTTTGAGTATGCAAATACTGTGCCTTCTGTGGTGGGGTCTGGGACAGTGTCTGGTATCCAGGCATATTAACATTTCTGTGGTGAACAAAGGAATACTCATATAACTGGAGTACATCAAAGCTATGATAATCTCAAAACAGGTTTCAGTCTTAAGAGTTCTGAATAAACTTTAGCTTTTTGGTTTTAAAACTATAGTTAAGGAGTACAGATGGATATTTGGGAAGTGATGAACACTGTTCACCAAAAAATGCCCAGAAATAAGAGAACTTATAAAACAGTAAACCTAATAAATTCAGTTATTTTGTTGTGTTTAATCCCAGCACTTGAGAGGCTGAGGCAGGAGGATCACCACAAATTTGAGCCCAGGCAAGCTCCATAGTGAGTTCAAGGCTAGTCGGAATGACATAGCAACTCAAAAAACCACAAATATATAAAATTGGGGATTCAAATGTAAATAAGTGTTCACAGAACTGTGGGACCATTAAACTTATTTCAGGTACTCGGATACACTGTATAAGTCATCTGATATCAAATCGGACAGTTTGGAAGATCTGTGGGAAAATCTGAGTTTAAAGCCTGCTAACTCCGCTCATGTAAATATCTCTGCAACCCTGTCTCCACAAGGTAAGCTAAGGACAACGCACAAAGTGAGAAACAGACTAACTTCAACTAAGTGAATCTTAACCTTTATCAGAATGTAAATATCCACATTGCAGAGAAAGAGCGCACTCTGTGTTAAAGCTGTTTATATTAAGTCATAACAGAAGTCTATTATCTTTAACAAATGCATCAGTGTTACAACTCTTGAACACTGACTTTTGTCCTGTCGGCTGGCAGAGGTTCAAATCCGAAGTGTTTTGCATGCAGATTTTTACTTAAAATATGCTCTCAAGATATTTCTTTCCTCCGATTTTATTAGGTTCAATAAAAACTTGAAAATCACATTTAAAACGTTAACAGAATTCTCATGTTCTTCCTCTTGGCCATGAATGCAGCGTCATGAGTAATTTCCACCCTTCTCCCTGCTTTCCGGGAGTGGAAACCCTGAGTGGAATAATCGGTAGCCAAGAGTTTCAAACCAGTTTTGAGACTGAATGAATCATTCTTTCTTCCAAAGTCCTTATTAACATGTTATATGACTTGATCTCTTATCTCTGACAGATTGCTTTATATAGTACAAAGAATGAAAAGAATTCCTGTTGTCCAAGGTCTGTTCTCCTACACATTAAACAAATCTAGGATTGTTTTATTTTTTCATAAAGCAGATCATAGGGTTGACTTCTTCCCTTCCTCTCCCCTCCCTTCCTTCCTCCCTGTTTTCCTTTCGCATTTCGTTCCTTTCTTCCGTCTTGTTTTCCTTCCTTCTTACCTTTTTCTTTCTTTCTTTCTTTCTTTTTTTTTTTTTGGTGCTGGGGATCGAACTCACTACCTCACGCTTACAAGGCAGGCGCTTGTGCCACTGAGCTAAATCCCGGCCCTTTTCCTTTTTTGCCACATCAGTGTATTAGCCTTGATCTGCCTGGATGGGTATTGTGTGAGCATAAAGTAACTGTTCCTTGTTACTTTGTCATTTCTCCTGTGTAGTTATTAATGAAGTATGGCAAGAAGAAACAATCGGGCGTCTGCTGCAGCTCATAGACCTTCCACTTCTTGACTCCTTACTCAGACAGAAGGAAGTTGTATCTAAAGTTCCTCAGCCCCAGAGGCAGCCTGACGTGATCAACAGCAGTAACTACCTGGATCGCGGGATTCTCAAGGCCTATAGTGACTCTCAGTATGTACAGATACACACAGTAATTTCAGTGTGTGTAGGTAGATAATAAATGATGGTTCTCGGGGCTGGGGATTTAGCTCAGCGGCATAAGTACCTGCCTTACAAGCAGGCAGTCGTGAGTTCGATCCCTGGTACCGATAAAAACGAAAAAGACCAAAAAAAAAAAAAAATGATGGTTCTAAGATCATCATCTCTGGAATTCTGTGTGTGAGATCAGTCAGTTGATGTTAACTGAGTGATGTTAGCAGAGTGAACAAAATTGTTAGTCCAAATGAGGAAAAAAGATTTAAATTTCATTGTCTTTCATATTTCAAATTCACCTGGGTTTCACATATAACTTCTTTGGACATCAAGTGAAGAAAATTATTGTTATTTTATTTACTTATTTTTTGGTGGTGCAAGGGATCTTGGAGACAGAAACTCAATAAGTTCCTAAATTGCCCAGGGTGGGCTTGAGTTTGCGATCCTCCTGCCTTGGCCTCCCAGAGTGTTGGGATCACAGGCAGACTCATTTTCATAATGTTCTATTTTTTGTTGTTGTTGTTAAAATGTAGGCTGACTAGTTTCTCAAGATTCCTTAAAGAGACATGCAACAAAATGAATAGATTTGACAAATTCTTGGAATCCTTTGACAACACATACTTTTATACTTTTTAAAAATGCCTGTTTTATAATGTAATCCCAGCACTCAGGAGACTGAGGCAGGAAGATCACCATGAGTTTGAAACCTGCTTGGGCTACATAGTGAGTTCAAGACCTGTCTCAAACAATCTGAAAAATATAGCAAGACACTCTTTAAAAAATAATCTTTTATTTTTTGTGATATTGTGATTGAACCCAAGGCCTTGCATGTGCTATGCAAGTGCTCCATCACTGAGCTACCTCCTTGTCCTTTTGATTTCATTTTGAGATAGCATCTCCCCAAGTTGCCCAGGTAGGCCTCAAGCTTGGAATCCTATCTCGGCCTCCTGAGTAACTGGAAGTATGTCCGGTACCACCACACCTAGCCATAAATGCGTATTTGCTAATTGGTTTTATTAAAGAAACATAATGAAAGTAATACTCACTTTCAGCTGTTATTCTGAAAATAAATCTTAAGGTTTGAAGACATACCTTTGCTAAGAGAATATTTTTTTTTCTTTAAAAAGTTCTATAAGAATTCCTTAAGAGGGGCCAGGAATATAGCTCAGTGACACGAGCACATGCCTGGCAAATTCGATCCCTAGTACCAAAAAAAAAAAAAAAAAAATGTTCTTTAAGGAAGAGTCCTCATAGCTCTAAAAGTTCTTCTCCTAAGTAAAATTAAAGGTTAAGAGACAGTATTCTGTCCAGTAAAAGAGATGGAAATGTCTGAAAAGAATACAACTTACACTTTTTTACTTGTTAATTCCACACTCCAATAATTATTAATATAAATAGTCAATTGGCTGGGGATTTAGCTTAGCGGCTCAAATGCTTGCCTGGTTAAGTTGAAGGTTCTGAGTTTGATCTCTAGTACCAAACAAACCAAACCAACAAAATAAATCCACACACAAAAAAGTAACTTTATTTTTAAAAGTAACTTCAGTCTGAGGAGGTGGCTCAGTGGTAAAGCTTTTTCCCTCAAGTCCATGAGGCCTTGGATTCCATTCTCAGCCCTGCAAAAGATACCTTAAAATATTATGTAAAAAAGACAACCCCGGGGCTAGAGGTTTAGCTCAGCGGCATAAGCGCCTGCCTTGCAAGCAGGCAGTCAGTGAGTTTGATCCCCGGTACCGATAAAAAGGAAAAAGACAAAAAAAAGAGACAACCCCACATTCTATTGTTAAACTCTGGGGGAAAAAATATAGAAAGCCATCCTACAATAGTTGACATTTCTACAGCTGAGAAGTAACATGTGCAAATATTCTCCAGGGGTGGGGAATTTGGCTCAGTGGCATAAGTGCCTGTCTGGCAAGCACAAGGTGTTGAGTTCAATTCCTGGCACCAAATAAACATAAAAGTTCTATAATCACCTTTATTTTCACAGGAGGAAATAGAATTTGTGCTACAGGTGACCTTAAAGATCATCGATGAACTTCTTTTTTTTTTTTAATCTATGAACTTCTTATAAACGTGGTGAATCTGATAAAGGGAGAAGCAAAGTGACTTGCTTAATTCGCCCATATTAATGACAAAATTAGTTGCTCTCTGACCGTAAAGGACAAGGTTGTTTTTTTTAACTGCATAGATTAACAAACTGAATATTAAGTGCTAGGCATTCTATTTCATAAAATGTAACATTTTTCTGGAGTTCCTCAGGAGACATTCTAATAAACGTGTAATTGAGTGAATTATTTTGAAAGTTCATTTTCCTCTGTTCTGGCCTAATTTAGGGTGAGACACAGTCACACACACAGCCCTGCAGTAATCCACACTGTATCAAGGAAGTGCTGCTTTGGGAGGCAGATCTGAGATCTAGTGCTGATCAGGCATGAGCAAACAGCTTGGAATTTCTGGGTCTCCACTGTAAATGTGAAAAAATAGTTTGAACTTTGGTGTTCTTTACCTCTGTATTGCATGGTTTCTGTTTTTGCAAAAGATGGGTGGGGGAGGGAGGACAATATGAAGCTAATTTTTGAAAATTTTGTAAAACATGATTTAGCAATATATTTTAAAAGTCGTACATGTCTCCCAGTGTGCAGAAATTATCCTAGTAGCAAGCTTGAACTGGCTTGTGAGAGCAGGTTCTGGGTGTGTATTCTCATGCCTTGCTTTTAAGATCGCTCTTCCCTGTTCCCCCACAGAGACGACGAGTGGCTGTCTGCTGCTATTGACTGCCTGGAGTACCTTCCCGACCCGATGGTGGTGGCCATAAGCAGAGGCTTCCCCGAGCAGCCCGGAAGGACAGACCTGGTGAAGGAGCTCCTGTTCGATGCCATTGGCAAGTACTACAGCAGCAGGGAGCCGCTCCTGAATCACTTATGTGACGTTCATAATGGGATTGCAGAACTCTTAGGTAAGTAAGATATTGCTGGATACTCGATTTGTATCTTTTGTAGGAGGATCTCCAGTTCGAGGCTCGCCAGGGCCATTTACAGAGACCTTGTCTCCAAGTAAAAGCCAGGGCCAGGGGTGGGGCTCAGTGCCAGGCCCAGGGTTTAATGCCCAGTATCGAGGGCAGGGAGTTCGTTGACCTCAAAACGAAGTAAAAGAGTGGCACTTGAGCTGGGAGCAGATGTGGATTGGTCCGTGAAAAAAGTATGTTTATTCTGAAACTTGTAGGGCTCATTTGGAAAGAGGCTTTAACAAGCTCTGAAGTTAGGCAGGACTCATGGTGGCTGTAAGAGAACGCTGCTCTCAGGTACCGGAGGCTTAGCTGTGGAGCGGGAGTCTCCTCTTAGGAGGAACCACCACTCCCCCGTTAGCCTTTTTAAAATGGGGACAGACCCCTCTGCCTTGTCTTCCTGCCATGGAGACAGACGGTTCCACGTGCTTTGTTGAAAATAAATTGGAGGTTTCTGAAAATCCCTTCTATTTTTCTTAGGTTGAGTCGCATGTATCAGTGTCATACAAAATGTGTTCCCTCAAAATGGGTTAAATTAATGCAAAACATAGGCTGAGAATTCATTCACAAAGCCAAGAGTTTAATTCACTGCCCTGAGACATTGTATGACAAGGACTTACAGTATTAGTTGCCAATTTTAGAACAGGCTGCTTTTTTGGTGATGGTCATTCATTTTGATTCTCAGTCTTGTTTTTTGTTTTGGAAATAATTTCAGACAAGTATACCGCTTAGCTAAAGCTGTAATTTGAGTTTTGTTTTTTTTAATATAGTCATATTTGGTCAATTAAAAGCAGGTTTTTTTCTTTTGGCTAAAGTAAATGGGAAGACTGAAATAGCGTTAGAAGCTACACAGCTCTTTCTGAAGCTTTTGGATTCCCAAAATAGAGAAGAATTTAGACGACTCCTGTATTTCATGGCTGTTGCAGCACACCCTTCGGAATTTAAGTTACAGAAAGAAGTAAGTCTTGGGCCAGGCAAGGTGGTGCATGCCTGTAATCCCACCACTCTGGAGGCTGAGGCAGGAGGATTACCACAGGATCGACGCCAGCCTGGCCTACATTGTGATTTTAAAGCCAGCGTGAACTACATAGTCTGTCTAAAAAACAGAAAGTTTATTGTTTAGATGTTTGTTGTAGTCACCATCTTTAATATTTATCCTGTGTGTCAGATCAGTCGGTCACCAGCAGCAAGTGTGCTGAAATGGATAGTAGTTATTAATTGCCAGGTGTGGTAGTGCACACCTACAATCCCAGTACTCTGGGAGGCTGAGGCAGGAGGATGGTAAGTTCAATCCTGGCATGGGCGGTTCAGTAAGTTGGCAAGAACCTGTCTCAATTAAAAAATGGGCTGGGCATGTAGCTCAGTGTAAAGGCCCTGTATTTAGTGCAAAAAAATAAAGACGGTTTATTAGTTAGTATTCTTGGGATATTAAACATAGTCTTTTAAAAGTGCCATGATGTGTGTGTTACTTTTGTAGAGTGACAATCGAATGGTTGTGAAAAGGATATTCTCTAAAGCTATTGTTGACAATAAAAACTTATCCAAAGGCAAAACTGATCTTCTAGTACTCTTTTTAATGGATCATCAGAAAGATGTTTTTAAGGTAAAATTCTGACTACTTAAATCGATCATTTATGTATCCACTAAAATATCTTTGAATAATGTCCTCTGTTTCTTCTTTTTCTTAAGATTCCCGGAACCCTACATAAAATTGTTAGTGTTAAGCTGATGGCAATACAAGAAGGAAAAGACCCAAATAAAGACACAGGTAATCTGAGAATCATGATCTCCTGAAGATAAATTCCTATGGTTTATTTGAAATTATTTGCTATAAATAGTTAACTTAAACTAAATTTCAGAGTTATCCAGTCTTTAGGAGAGACAGCCTCCTGTTTCAGAAAAGCAACTTGAGCCAGGTGTGGTGGTACATACCTATAATACCAACACTTGGGAGGCTGAGTGAGGCAGGATTCCTGCAAGTTTGAGGCCAGCTTGGGCTACCTAGCGAGTTCAAGACTATCCTGAAGTCTATCGGAAGACCTTGTCTCAAAAAACAAACAAAAAAAAGCAACTTGACCAGGTTCAGTTAATGCTTATCTTTTTCAGAGAAATGGGAAACATAAATATAAAACTACTGTGACACTTAATTTTTACAGTTAAATCTGAGGAACGGGAAAGGTAGTAAAGGGGAGGGAAATTTAAAATGAATTAAGCTGTGTTATATGCATGCGCTGCTCCCTATGATGAATGTAATCATTATAAACTGCAAATATAAACTAATAGCTGGGTGTGGTGGCATATGCCCATAGTCCCAGCACTTGGGAGCTGAAGCAGGAGGATCACCAAGAGTTCAAGGCCAGCCTGGACTATATAGTATGAGACTCTGTCTTAAAAAAGCAGTGTTACCAATAAAAGTAAAACTTCAAAAGAATGAGGAACTTTGTCACTAACTGAACTTTTCGCTTTTAACCATAAGGTTATATTTACTGCCAGAGAATTGATCCAAGTGACTATTCCAGCAGCATACAGAAGAAAACCAAAGATGAACTGTTGAATTTACTAAAAGCTATTGATGAAGATTCCAAACTATCTGCCAAAGAAAAGAAGAAACTGCTAAGTCAGTTCTATAAGTGTCATCCAAATGTCTTTAATGAGTATTTTGGAGACTGACTTTCTATTGTCTGTATATAAGTTGTGTATTTTAAGAATAAATTATGTATCCTAAAGATCCAATCACATTTGTAAGTTTTGAAGTTCTAAAAATGAAACTGTACTTAATAAAACTTTTTTTTAAATAAAACTTCTTGTGTCAGAAACTGAATTGTAGTAAAATATAGTGTATTGCCATGGAGTACTAATCTCTTAGGTGGGTTGATTGTTATAGTTTTTATAGGGCTCCACATTATGGGGATTTAGATGATTTAACATGTAATATTTATATAAGGTATTTACCAGTAGGGTGGTCTACAGTTACGTATTAATAGGGGTATGATTTGTAATTTTAGAGGTATTCCTTAAAAGAGGCAAGATAGAAATTTAAGCAATGAATAAATTTACCACAAATTACAGACCATCAGAAAGCAGGCAGGGGCTGGGGATTTAGCTCAGTGGCATAAGTACCTGCCTTGCAAGCAGGCAGTCGTGAGTTCGATTCCTGGTACTGATAAAAACAAAAAAGACCAAAAAAAAAAAAAAAAGAAAGAAAGCAGGCCATCCTAATGCTTATGAAAACTTCAAACATATACCAAACATATTTCAAACATATACCAAAACCTGTTCTGTACCCATCAACCAATTTGAACCATTGCTAATTGATAGCCAATCTTGTTTCATCTGTATCCCTGCCCATTCCATGGGTCCACCCAGTAAACTTTAGACATAATACTTCATGTTTAAAATTTCAGATGTGTAACCAAAAGAGAACATTAAAAACAACTACAAGAATGGTGGCCTATGACTGTAATCCCAGCACTCAGGAGGCTGAGGCAGGCAGACAGCGCAAGTTCCAGGCCAGTCTGGGCTACACAGGGAGTTCAAGGCCAGCCTGAACTATATAGGGAGACCTTGTCTCGACCAAAAACAAAATCCTAACTATCATATTGTCACTTATAAGTCCTATAATTCCTAAATATCAAGTGTGCAGTTTTCAAAATTTCTGATGATCTCATTTTTTTTATTATTTTGAGACAGGGTTCCCATATGCAGTTTAGGCTGGCTTTGGGCTCATTTTGTAGCCCAGGCTGGTCTTGATCTTCCTGCCTCAGCCTCCTGAGTACTGGATTACCAACACCATGCCCAGCTTATTCAAATAGGGATCCAAACGGCATGGTAGCACACGCACTTGGTAATCCCAGCACTTGGGAGGCTGAGGCAGAAGGATCTTGCAAGTTTGAGACCAGCTTGAACTGCGTAGTGAAACCCTGTCTCAAAAAGACCAAAAAAAAAAAAAAAATCCAAAAAGTGACAATAAATTGCAACTGGTTAATGTGCTTCTTAAATTTCTCAATCTATTGGTACCTTTTTTGTTTTGTTTTGGGGGATAGGGTCTTGCTTTGTAGTTTAGGCTGGCCTTGTACTCACTATGCAGCCTGGACTCACCTTGATCCCAAGAAGATTGTTCTGCCTCAGCCTCCCAAGTGCTAGGATTATAGGCATGCCTCACTATGCGGGTGGTTCTTTCTCCCTTCTCTCTTTTTGATCAAACCTGGTCACTTATCCTTGAGTTTCTCACAGTCTGGATGACTGAATTTAAGCCTAGACTGTCCTTTATCATGTTCCTTTGTGTCCTATATTTCTTGTAAATTGATCCCTAGTTCAAATTTTTAACTTTTTAACTAATGATTATTTCATAACTACTGCCAAGACGTATTTGTATGTAGAAAAACAGTCTAACACAATGTGAAATACAATTTGAAGTTGTTTATCCCTTTTGGTTATACTTTAAGGCTGAATTTTATATTTTCACTTAGATTTTTGATGAGAAGTAGAGAACACTGAAATGACACCAATATGCTGACATCAGTAATTTTTTATTTTCTGATATAACTGATACTGTCTAGTCTTCAAGTGGAAGAAGGTCGAAAGCTAATATCTGTAACATAATAGCTATGATATCAACTCAATAAAACAGGGCAAGTTTTCTTGCATGAAGAACCCAGGGCAGCTTTCTTTACAACAAGGAAAGATAATTCATAGCTTACGTGTGAGAAGCAGTTTTCAGAAACAGGCTTTTAAAACTGGTGAGACAAAGGGCTGGGGATTTAGTGCAAGTGCTTGCCTGCTAAGCTTGAGGTTGTGAGTTCGATTCTTGGTACCGAAAAATGAAAAAGAAAAAACTGATGAGACAAAATACTTGGCAGGGCAGCTCTACTGATTTACAATCTTTATTTTGCACATAATTAAGCATGATTATTTGGCAACCAAAACCCAATACCTTGAGGGGAAGGCAGAACTAACTGTTTAATGATATACATCCTCCTGGAAGAAGCAGCAAACTGACAATTCCATGGAAGACACACTGGCAAGCCACAGTCTGCAGTTAATAAGAATAGAGAAAAATTTTAAGAAAAATTGGTTACAAGAGAATAACAATTAGGAAACTAGAAAAACCAGCAGGAAGCAGAGATGTGAGGAGAGATTTCCCTGCAGCTTAACCTCCAGCAGCTTAACCTCCAAAGCAGCTGTATCCTTTTTCCTAGCCGTATGTAGCCTTAGAGCGAACTCCTTTTGCCTTAAAGTGGTTTGACTTTGTAATCCTTGAACCAAAAATCAAACTGGAATGGGGCTGGGCATGGTGGTGCAGGCCTGTAATCCCAGCACTGGGGAGGCTGAGGCTGGAGGATTGCAGTGAGTTCGAGGCCAGCCTCAGATACAGAGTGACACCCTGTCTCACAAAACAAAAACAAAAATACCAACATACTAGATCATGGTTCAATATGCTTTTCTTATGTAAAAGAAACAGTTCCAAATATGTATCAGATTACAAGTCAATCATTCCAAATCAGAGTGGCTTTAGCACTGTCCATTGCTACAGTGTGACGCTAGCCTGGCCGACTGCCCACTGGAATCATCTGGGAAGCTTTTACTGCTTGTCTGGCCTCACTTCCAATAGACCTTTCAGATGATGGCTTCAGAATCGCTACCCTTCCCATTCTAAAGTAGAGGAAGCTTGAGGAAGCTCTATGGTACATAAGTGTGGACTCCAAAGTGTGAAATGAATATCTGTGCATCTTAACAATTCCAGTTTCAGTTTTTCCTCTGAGAACTTCATTTTTTAAGGAAAAATAATGTAGTAGTTGGTAAGGGGCATGAGGGTGCTTATTATATATATTCAGGCTCCAGTAACACAGGATCTATTTAGTAGTGTTTGAAAACATTAAATCTGGGGGCTGGGGATTTAGCTCAGCAGCATAAGCACCTGCCTTGTAAGCAAGCAGTCGTGAGTTCGATCCCTGGTACCGGTAAAAAGACAAAAAAAAAAAAAAAAGAAAACATTAAATCCACCCAGCAGATTTGTTCCAGTTACTTAAACAAGTTTTGTAAATTACATGTAGATTTATTGCATTCATTTTAGGATGTGCATTATTTATGTTTTTTATGCTGTTTTAAAGTATTTTAAAAAATAAACATGAATCATTTGCCTTTTATCTTTTAAAAATCGAGCACGACTATTTATATTTGTGTAGGTTGCTTTTTTTTTTTTTTTTTCTTTTTTTACTTCTGCAGACTGAAAAGGCAGTTTTCTTGGAGAAGAAACTCAGTCGAGCTTGATGCCACCCACAGCCCCAGAAGTAAGGATAGGAGGCCCCAAAGTGGGTTTAACATGATACTTCGGAAAAATGTTCTTGCTTTCTGGAACTCAGACGAAACAAAAACGCCTTGAGTACTCTTGGTACTTAGGGGACAACGTGCACAGAACGGAGCTCTTAAGGAAACTGTTTAAGAGTCACCCACCAACCCGAGTGCCACTGGGATGCCGCTGGGTAGGTTGTTAGCGCGACTTTTATTAACAGCCAAAATGAGGGGAGAGGAATAAACTTTGTCCAGATACGATGATGGCATATTTTTCAAAATCTGGGCGGGAAACGTTAGAAATGCAATTGCTCCTTTCCTTTTCCTTCCCTTGACTGACTCCGCGCATTCTTTTCCTCATTTTCCTGTGGCGTCGCAGGCAGTCGCCTGTAGTCCAGCTGCCTCTCTGGCTTTCCGTACAAAAACATGGCGCCTCCCTGCCCGCGGCGACGCAGGGCTCCGAGCCACTGCCCAGTGAGCCCCCCTCGATTCGCATCTGGCCACGCCACCCTTTCCGTACGGAAACATGGCGCCGCCCAGTTCACTGAGCCCCTTCGGCCGACAGGGGACTGAGCCGTCTGACCCTCCGTACAACAACATGGCGCTGCCCCAGGTTGGTCAGGTGCGTCTCTAATATCAGTCAGCCCCTTCTCGACGCTGAAGGAGCAGTCACAGTGGCCGCTGCCCACCGAGCCGAGCAGTGAGGACAGCCCTCAGTGGAGCGAGGGATGAGGCGTCCGAAGAGCAGAAGCTAAGCTGGTATCCCCGCCGCGCATCGCTCCCGCCTCCGCCAGGGCTCCCGTCCCGCCTGACTCGCGGCGGGAGCGGCAGGAGGGAGAACCCCGACTCCGCGGCAGGTGAGCGGCGCGCGCGAGGCGCCAGGTCCGAAGCTCGGCTGTTTCTTGGCCATTTCCCGCCCTCGTGATGTCGTGGCCGGACCCTCGTGATGTCGAGGGGAGACGAGGAAGAGGCTGGGACGGCGGGCGGCGTGAGGCCTCCGGGCGCGCCCCGCCGGGTTGCATCACTGGCCCCGGCCCTGCCACTCCCTCCTGGCCCGAACTGTTGTTTACAACGGAATCCAGACCCGGGGGGTGGGAACACGGAGCGCCGGAGGAAGTGATGCTCCGAGTCCCGGCACAGACCCCATTCGGTTGCTGACAGACCTTTCCTTCTCCGGCGAGGGGGTCTCCTGTCTGGGGCTTCGCGGAGGCGCGAGGATCTACTCCCCTGGCACGGTAGGGGCTGATGGTTGTTGAATGAATGAGCGCCCTGAGAGCATTTCGATGGCTCCTGGGTGCACCCTGTAGCCCTTTCATTATAGTTACTTGTGCTGGAAGCTTGTGTGCCGGCCTCTGTAGACACAGTACGCGTTTAATTCCCTCCCCCCGCCCCCCGTGTGAGGGAGGCAGTTCCGTTTTACAGAGGAGAAAACTGAAGTCACAGAAGTAGTAAAGCGCCAGATTAGGACCCCAGACCAGCTCCCAGCACGCCCATGTACAGTGACATCACAGAGATGACACAGGAGTTCATCTCTGGCAATACATACTTAGTATCGGTTTAGAGGCTTCACTGGTACATATGGAGCATATGTGGAAGTGTGCTTAGGCTTGGCTTTTTAAGAAGCTCAAGATCTAGCTGAAAATGCTTTTTTAAAAAGTTAGCTAGGCGTTATGGTGAATACCAGCACGGCGGGGAAACTGAGGCAGGTAGATGGTAAATTGGAGCCCAGCCTGAGCTGTTTTGCGACGTAATGAAATAAAGAAGAGAGGATGTAACAAGGTTCAGAGGCTCCGGATTCGTACCCAGCACCCAGAACAACAAAACAGGCCGTTTACTATCTGACCCAGCCATCTTTCCATCTGTCCACCTGCCGCTTTTCTCATTTCCCCATGCCTTGGCTTCTGCCCTCTCTGGATGAACTGCCCCTCTTTTCCTCTTGTTTTCCCGTCCAGAGATTTTTTTTTTTTTTTTTTTTTGTACCAGGGATCGAACTTTCTTGACCTCACGCTTGCCAGGCAGGCGCTTATGCCGCTGAGTTAAATCCCCGGCCCTAGAAATTTTATAACTGGGTTAAAGTCTCCTTTCAAAGGTCAGCTCAAATGTCATTTTTCTGGGAATGTTTAGAGACTGGCAATTTCCTAATGCTGCTAAGGCTTGAGTTTCATTGTAGTTCCTTACAAGCTTGCTTGTCTCTAATTTAGTCTATGCATTTCATTTTTCTGTCCCTATGTAAAGTTTTATTATAAGTTATTTATTGGTGGTACTGGAGATTGAAATCAGGGCGTTGTGTGTGCTAGGAAAGCACTCTACCACTGAGCTACATCCCCAGCCCTATTATTATTAGGGTTTTTTTGTTTTGTTTTTAAACAGGGTCTTCTTGTGTGCTTCATGCTGGTCTGGAACTCCATATGTAGCCCAGGCTGGCCTCCAAGCAGTCCTCCTGCCTCAGCCTCCTGACTGCTGGCATTATAGACATAAGCAACCACGCCCAGCTATTATTAGGTTTTTTGAGACAGGGCCTTGCTGTGTAGCTCAGGCTGGTTTCAAATAGGCAGCTTCCTTCTGCCGGGGCCTCCCAAGTGGTGGGATTACAGGCTAGCTGCACCACTCCACGCTTTAGTTAAGCATATTTTTGAATCAAAAGAAGCGATGAATGCCAGATGTCTAGCACCAGCCCTGCAGGAGATGGAGAAAAAGTGCAAACACTAATGAGGTTGGAGGAAGTGTCCTGGGAGGAAATAGAACTAGAGCTGAATTTTAAAAGAAAGAGGCTGATTTAGAAAGCTGAAGATTACAGACCCAGGAGTCTTGCGTACTCCTCACTGCTCAGCGTGAATTATTTCATCTTTCTGTGCTCCCGATTCTCAGCTTGTGAGGAGGGTAAAATTGAAAGTGTTTCTGTTTGTCATAGAGTATGCTGGTAATGCTGTTGTTCAGGTCTTGGAGCCTTTCCAGAGCCTAAAAGGATTTAGGACAGTGAGAAGATGGGTGTTGGCAGGTAAAATTGGATTGAAGGCTTCATTTTTTTTTTTTTTTTGCTTTTTCCTTTTTATCGGTACCGGGGATCGAACTCATGACTGCCTGCTTGCAAGGCAGGCGCTTATGCTGCTGAGCTAAATCCCCAGCCCCCTCAAGGCTTCATTTTAATAGTAATTTTCCATTAAAAAATCTCCTTTCCTGTCACTCATTCTGTTTAATGGAGGTCTCTGAAATTTCACAGAACTGTGTCAAGTGATACTTCTCTAATTGTTCAGAAGCCAGTCTCTGCCTAACCTCCCTAAAGCAATTGATATTTTTGATTTTTTGATTCCTTCCAGATGTGAAATGTAGTGTAATTACTGTTTATGGCGATGTTTTGTGAGCAGGTGCTAATGGAATCATTGTTATCTTCCATATCATAAGTGCAGAAATGCTGAGTCTGTCTAAGTCAGAAAGGAAAGAAAACTGTAGGAAAAAATTTGATAAAAACTTGGTTGTAATTAAGAGTAATTAGCTGGCCAAACCAAGGTGTCAAGTGATATTTCTATTCTAATCAACAACTAATAAAATGAAAACCTTGCCCAACCACACACATTATAGTTATTTGCAATTTCCTGCTTTGCTCATGATCATTTCTTACTGACTAGCAATGAGTTAATAAAAATATTTGCCCCACATATTTCTCCTAAAAGGTTTAACCAGTGTTTACCTCAATTTGTCCTCTGCAGGTAGTTTTACCCACAAGATAAGATAGGTAAACCTACTCCTCTGCCCTTTGTATTCACTTGGAAGCATATTCTTCCTGGGCTTGGTAGCATTTCTGGGTGGGTGGGTAGTCCCAACTACTTAGGAGGCTAAGGCCTTAAGAGTCACACAGTGGGGACCTGCCAGGGCAACTTGTATAGGTCCTGGATTCAATCCTCAGTACTACTTAAAAAAAGAAAAGAAATTTGTTTGCAAAGAATTTTCATATGGGTTCCCAAGGACAAAAGTAAAGAATTTAAGATTGAATTACTTCCTTTGATTAAAACAGGAGGCAGGTAATTGATAGTGTTGTTTTCTATTAGTTTAAGGTCCTCTGTTCTTGTGACATGGTATTCCTGAGGGGAATAAACTATTCCTATGTATTACTGCTTAATATTTATAAATCTGATAAATTGTGACATTTTACAAGCATTTGTTTAATTTTTTTTTTTTTTTTTTTTTTTTTTTTTTTAGGGAGAGGGTCTTGCTACATAGTGTAGGCTGGCTTTAAATTCATTATGTAGCCCAGATTTACCTAGAACTACAGGTGATCCTCTTGCTTCAGCCTCGTAAGTACTGGGATTACAGGTTTGGAACACTGTGCCCAGCTCTGTCTAATCGCTGAAGTAGAAAGCTGGATAAGATCCTGGCCAGCGCTTTTATTTTGCAGAGGAGAAAACTGAAACTCAAAGAGATTAATGATTTGCTCAGAGTCACGATACTAAGTAGTGATAGAGCTAGAACATTTTAGGCTAATTTTTTGTTTGTTTCCTAGGAAAGTGAATAAACTTAATTGAGAATGTCTGAAAACCCCGACAAGTCCAATATAAATGAGTCAAATGATTCTGAGCAGAGCCTGGATGGTGCTGTGGAACATTCTGATGAAGCTTTACAGAAAAATATAACAGTGGACTCTCCCAGTCCCCAGAGGGTGCAAAGACCTCACTGTAAGTACATTTGACTTTGGTTAGAGCAATATTATCATTGTTTTCAGATGGTGTTTGTATTCTGCTTCCTTGCATTATGACCCTGAGTTCATCTTTTACTTTTCCCTTGCCTTTTCTCTCTTTTTCTTTTCCTCTTTCTCTTTCATTTTCTCTCTTTCGTTTTTTTCTTGGAAGAGAGGTTTATATTGGCTCACACCTAATTTCTGATAATGTCAAAACATTGCCAATAACCAGCAATTTCTCAACCAACAGCCTTGTTACTTGTAGGTTTTCAATTGCACGAAATTATTAAAATTTTAAAATAATATATAGAATGTTCCTGTCTTTCTCTAGCATCAAGTGCATTTCAGTTTCTCTGAAGTGCTCTCTCAGACATATAAAGGTGGAGTGTAAATTTTTACAGTTCTAACAAAGAGTGTTTGAAAACTCTGTGACTGATTCTAGCCAGGGCAAGGGTTGTACAGGTTATAGGAAAAAAAAAAACGAGTTTCCCACACCCTAAATTCACTGTCTGGGGCCTTAGTTCCCTCAGAAATGAGGGGATTCATTTCACTGAATGAATGTGATGAAGTCTTTGGAGATCCTGGCAGGCAGCAAACCTCCAGATGAAAGCAGTTTCTGCCTATATTCCCAGCAGTTTCACCAACTCCTAACTCTACCCAACATGGGGCCAGAGACCACATGTCAGGCTTTTGTGGTAGCGACTAGGCATATGGTTTACTGCCTGGGTGCAGGCAGGCAGAGCACAACGGCAAAGAGAAGTGTGGTTCTTTCCTATGGATGGAAAGGAGGCCAGTGGGAAAATTTAATAAACATATGTGGCTGAAGTTCTCTGACCGTCCACTTCAGTGGGTAAAGTCCATGGAGTGTCCTGTGTAAATTTTTGAGTCTCTCCAGATTGTCCCCAGGACCTGCACAATTATCTCCTCCACAACATCCTGTGCTTGCTAATGAGAGCCTGGAGTGCTGAGCTGGATTCCCTGTGGGGAGAGGTGCTTTGCCTTCAGGCAGGCTAGGCTGGTCCAGTTGGAGCCTCCCAAGGTTTGCTTTTTCCTTTTGGAGACAGGGTCTCTCTATGTAGTTCAGGCTTTCCTTCAATTCACTGTGTATTCCCTCTAGGCTGGCTTGAACTTGCACCAATCCTCCCATTTCAGTCTCCCAAGTGCTGGGGTTTCAGGTGTGCGCCATCATACCCAGCAGTAACGTATTTTATTAAGAATACAAGATTCAAGTTTTTTTTTTTTTTGATTCAAGTTTTTTGAAGTGAGTCCAAAAGTGAACATTTTTTAGTAGGACGTGTTACAGTCTAAGAATGTCAGTATTAGTGTTCTCTATAGTGCAGATGATCAGTAGTTCATATTTGGAAGATATGCAAACTTTTTTTGGCCTTTTTGAGACACAGTCTTGTTATGCAGCTCAGGCTGGCCTTGAGGTCACTTTATAATCTATCCTGGTCGCAAACTCTCAACCATCCTCACAGTTTAGTCTCCCAAGTGCTAGAATTATAGATGTGCACCACCATGCCCAGCCATTTTTGGGTTTTGAGCTGGGTTTCTTCTAAAATGATCATAACCTTCCCCAGGGTATTTATTGTAGTTTACTACAATAAAATGGGGCCCACTAAGGTTTGGTATAAGAATACCATGATTATCACATACTACTTTTAACAAATGACTTACTAGGACATGTTGTGTCCAGGGAAACAGGCAGGAAGGTTGCTGTGGAGGTGACTCTTAAATATACTTATCTCTGGGGGTGGCTGTGAAGATAAATTTAATTCACATACCGCATTTACAACAGTACGTGGCACATAATAAGTGCCAATGGTTGTTACTACTACTGATACTAATACTGTTACTTGCTGCATTTAATTAATTACCATGTATTGTGGAGGTGCTCTAGTTTGCTTTGAAATGATTCCTAATGGCCTTGGTGTTAAAGGCTTCGCCTCTAGCCCAGGATACTACAGAGAGGTAGTAGAACTTTTCAGAGTTTTAAAGGTGTTAGACCTTCACCTTTTACAGGTAAAATCTATGGGGAAGAAGTCAGATTACTGGAGCCATGCCCTTGAGGCAGCCATAGGGACCAGACCCCCTTCCTGTCTCCCTTTTGCTTCCTATTGTGAGGTTAGCAACTTTGTTGCCAGGTGCTCTCCACTGTGAGGAGGTGCCTCACTCCCACCCAAAGGTGTGGATCCAGCTGATCATGGACTGGACCTTCCAAAACTGTGAGCCAAAATAAAGCTTTTGTTAAGTTGATTTAACTCAGGTATTTGTTACAGTAACAAAAAGGTGATACATACAGAATGTTTAACACAGTTGTTTTATTGCTCATGGTTTCTGATAAAGGAGGACTTTTGTTTCATGTTTAGTCATTCTTTGACTGATGCTCTTGCCTTTGGCACTCTACCAGTCTGGTCAAATGACACTCAATTCATGTCAGCTGAACCTTGGGCCATGTTACTTGGCATATGTAGGTTATATCACTAAGAAGAATACTTACCCTGGAACCTGTGATCAAGTTTTAAAGGACCCAGGAATAGCCAAAAAGTGTAATATTTGTGTGTATGCGTATGCATTTGAGGGAAGAAAATGATAGAAGTGTTCATTAAAGTCATAGAAATCTGCTGTGGTTGTGGTTGTGGTTGCCTACCAACGATTCCTATTCTAAAGATTTGGCCCCCATGGGGTGACTTTTTTTTTTTTTTTTTTAATAGTACTTAGAGTTGGGGCTGGTGATTTAGCTCAGCAGCATAAGCACCTTCCTTGCAAGCTCACGGTCGTGAGTTCGACCCCTGGTACCAATAAAAACAAACAAACAAACAAAAAAACAGTATTTAGAGTTGAATCTAGGACCTTCATGATGAGCTACATCTCAAGCCCTTTTTAACTTATTTTTCTTTTGAGATAGTGTTTTGCTAAGTTGCTAACTTGCCTGGGCTGGGTTGAACTTCTGGTCCTCCTGCCTCAGTCTCCCAGAGTGCTGAGATGACAGGCCTATGCCACCACGCCCTGCTCACTGTCAATCTTGAGGCAGTAAACCTTGAAGAGATGGGTAAAGTGGTTAGGACAATGAAGGCACCACCTTCGAAGTGATCAGTGTGGTTCCTGTGGGAGTCTGGTTTGTTCCTGAGAAGCAGATGGGGAGAGCGAGCCCAGCCTGGTCATTCTGGCTTCCTTTCCAGCCGTGCATTCTCCTCACACTTGCTCCTGCCTTATGATGCTCTCTGCCACTAGGCCTAGGCATTCGAGCAGATGCCATGCTCTTGCATCTTCAAAACCTAAGCAAGCTAAGCCTGCCTTTAGCAAAGCACTGGACTCACATATTTAAATATAGCAATGGAAAATGGACTAATATGGGGACATACTAAAATGAGTTTTAGCCAGGTGTGGTGGGGCACACCTGTAATTTTAGCACTTAGGAGGCTGAGGCAGGAGAATTGAGTTTGAGGCTAGCCTAACTAAGTTTTAAATTAGTGCTCTTAGGGTGCTCATTTTGGCTTCTTTGCTCTTTCTTCTGATTTACTAATTATGAGTTTAACTAGAGTACTCTAATGTATTAACCGAGTGAACTTTAATGTTTTTGTTTTTGGTTTTTGAGACAGAGTCTCACTGTATAGCCCAGGCTGGCCAAACTCAACAGCAGTCCTCCTGCCTCAGTTTCCCAAGCACTGGGATTATAGGCATGCACCACTATACTCAGCATGAAGTTTAATTGATGGGTGAAATCAGTGGGTACCAGTCATCCTTAGATATTTGGATGACAATGCTTTTTAAATTTGTCAAATGTCAACCTTTTATGAATGTAAAAACCGAGTCTATGCATTCATGTAACTCTAAGGAGGAAGACAGATTGCTCTGCTGTTCGCATATGGTATAGTAAGTACCGTGGATACCCTCTGCCTGATAGTTGTCTGCCCGTCACAAATGCCCATCTACTCACATGACCAGAAGCCTCTCAGAGTGTGTGGAAGTCTCGGGTTTTGGCCCCTTAACAGAAGAGATAGAAAGTAAACCATTCTAAATCTGAACTTGAGTTTATTTTGGGATCTGTCTGCTGGCTTCCCAAAGGACACGTTTAAGTTAATGTGTTTCTCTTACAGGAGATCAGTGTAGAAAAGATGTAACAAAATTTAGCAGCAGTTTAGCTTTCCTTTTTTTTTTCCTCTACAGAGTCTTGCTGTGTACTTCAGGCTGGCCTTGAACTTACTATGTAGCCTAGGCTGGCCTCAAACTTGTGATCTCCTGCCTCAGCCTCCCATGTGCTGGAATTACAGGCATGCATTGCCACACCTGGCAAGCAGTTTAGCTTTCTACAATATAATAAACCCCATGGAAAAATATGTGTAACTTTACCATTTTTCAGGACTCTTACTGCAACTCATGCTGTCTTCATAAATTTAAGTGAAGTTGTATTGTCCACCAAATTGCATCTTTATACGTTCTCACTTATCAAATTGGTAAATTTGAGACCTCTCAGACAAAAAACCCCCACAAAATCCCACAGCCCTATAATTGTACGCAGTGGGTAATTCCTCTATGTGTAGATCTGTAACACATCTTGACATAGTTTAGAATGGTGACCTTTATCTTTCTTGGTCAGAGCTCCTGTTAAGAGTGTGACTTTACACTTGCATTAGTCAGCTTTCCCATCTCGACGACGTACTACCTGGATCCACAACTTAAAGGAAGCTCATGGCTTTGGGGTCACAACTGGCTCAGAGTGGCAGAAGGGCCTGGGGCAGGAGAGTTGCTCACCTCCTGGCAACCAGGAAGCAGAGAGAGCAGGGAGGAGCTGGGAGGGCCATAAACTCTCCAAGGACACACTCCCAGTGACACAGCTCTTCCAGCCAGCCCCGCCCCTACCAGCACACTGGCTGTGAGCTGTCTGTGGGTCAGGCTCCTGATGAGTGTGGAGCCCACGCTCCAGTCGTCTTCCAGTAGCCCTACCTTCACTCGAGACTGTGGAGGGATTTTGTATTCTAATTTTTTTTTGATACAGGGTCTCCCTGTGCAGTTCAGGCTGGCCATCAACTCACTTTGTGGCCGTGGCTGATCTTGAACTTGCACTGATCCTCCTGCGCCAGCCTCCTGAGTGCTGAGATTACCAGTGTGCAGCACCACAATAACTTCTGAAAATGTTATTCTTTCTGGTGTTCTCAGTTCTTGGTGCAAGCTGTTTTGTGCTAAGTATGCACTAAATACTAAGAACACACTTGCCTAAAATTTTTCAGATGCTCATAGAACGTCCGTATGTGGGTATGGTGGTGCATGCCTATAATCCCAGCTACTGGGGAGGCTGAGGAAGGAAGATGGCAAGTTCAAGGCCAACCTGGGCCACTCAATGAGACCTTTCTTACAGTTAAGAACAAAATAATACAAAACAAAATGAAAGAAAAAGCTGGGTTGTAGTAGCTCAGTGGTGAGAGTGCTTACCTGGCGTGTGTGAGATCTGGGGTTCAAACGCTTATACCACAAAAATTGTTTAATTTCACTGTCTTCTTTTTGCTTATGGAGAAGCTACCACACTGGAAAATCTAAGTGGTTTGTTCAAGGTCATACTCAACAGAAGCAAGAGGAAGCCAGAGTTCCTCCCAATTCTCTCCATCTCACATTCCATCTCGCAGCATACTAACAGTGTTCCTCATTGCCTGGTTACCTAAAATTATTGAAAGACAGGAAATTTTCATAAATTTAAAGGGCAGAACAGTTAAATAATTTTGTATTAATATTCTCTGGGAATACTGAGGATAATTTGATAATGAGGAATTTTGGGCATTTTCCAAACTTCCTTGCTTTTGTTTTTTGTTTTTTTTGAGACAAAGTCTCACCATGTAGTTCAGGCTAGCCTTGAAGCCACCGTGTAGCCCAACCTGGTGTGGCTCTCTAGGTGATTTTCCTGCCTCAGCCTCCCAGTACTGAGATTATAGGCAGTTGCCACCACACCTGGCTGCAGCTTCCCTTTATGTGATCAGATAATGGTTTTTATCCGGCTTGGACATAACCAGTTCTTAGACTTGGTTTCTTTTCATAAAGGGGGGTGGGGGATGCAAAGAAAAGAGTAAAAGAAGACAAATAATTTTTCACTAAACTAAGAACTTTACAACTGTTAAATCTTGAGCAAATCTGTGATATTAGTTTTCCTGATTTTAACACCGTCACATAAAATTCATGTAGTCATCTCGCAGGCCAGTACTTTTCAGATTGATTTCTGGGACCATCAGCATCTGCCTGGACTTGTTAGAAATGCGTTTTCCTTCCTTGCCCCGGATTTACTGAATGAGAGACCCAGAGGGGGCCTGGTCATCTGTAGGGCCTCCCTCTGGTTCCCTGTAGGCTAAAATCTGAGCACCACTGCCCAGACTTTTTGGGAGCTTTACCCCTTATTCCTTGTTTCAGAAACCTGGAAAAAGTTGTATGAGATGTTTCTGGAAGATAAATCTCAGGCTTTAGCAAAAGAGAGAGAAAGCTGAAATCCCAGTACTGTGGCAGACTGAGGCAGGAGGCTCCCTTGCACCTTAGTGACTTAATGAGATTTTCTCACAAAATATAGAGTAAAGTTTGAGGATATAGCCCAGTGCATAGGCCCTGGGTTTGATTCCCAGTACTGAAAATAGGTAAGTAAATAATGATAAAAATTTAAAAGAGAAAAGTAGACCAAGTGTGAGGCTACTGAACAGTTGATAGCGAAATCAGATCTACAGGATTTACATAGCAGGGCAGTGGGGAAGGGAGACAAGATGACTCTTTCAGTTTTTCTTTCAGCGGTTTCCATACTACAAGATTATTGAAGTGCCTTCTCCTCTATTCTTTCGGGATAACCTCAGAGCTTTTGTTCGTCTCTGTCCTGTACCGGGATACCGAATTAGGATTGTTTAAACAGTACCTCATGTCTGAAGACATAATTACCATTTAATTTGGATTTTTTTTTGTTTTAATTTTGAGAGGTTCATTCATGCCATAGTGTTAGCGGTAGTACAATAATAAACTGCTTCCCAGCATTCGAGAAGCTGAGGCAGGAGGATTGTTGCAGGTTCAAGACCAACCTGGGCTATAAAGTGAGTTCAAGTCCAGCCTGAACTGCATAGCAAGGCACTGTCTCAAAAAGACCAAAAGTAAACAAACAAACAAACAAACTGCTACTGGAAAAAGAGGTCTTAAATCTGGGTGTCTCCTTTTTTTTGTTGAGGGATAGAAAGCATACGTGTTAGACATAAAGCCCTAGCTTTTTGGGGTAACCAGCATCTGTAATTTAAGATTTTGAATTTTCGCTTACTGTAATCGTTTTCATTGGCCACATAATGTAGTCATCTTTTATCTAGTAAAAACCACCAGGTATCTTGAATATTGCAAATGATCCCTGCTTTTAGCATTCTAGAATTTAAAAAAAAATGAAAAAGTTAAAATTCCTCTGCTGTTTGAAAATATTTTAATAGAAGAATAACTGAAGTCATTGCCTGGTACCGGATCTAGTGCCTTCTCGTTATTTTCATGGAATTTCTAAAATTTCATGGAAAATCTAATCTAAAGAAGCCGATTTCTTCCCCTGGGGTTTTCTTGCAGCCAGTCCTCCTCGATTTGTGACAGTGGATGAACTTCTGGAGACAGCGAAAGGAGTCACCAACATGGCTCTTGCCCATGAGATCGTGATGAACGGGGACTTCCGGATTAAGCCAGTGGAATTGCCAGAGGACAGGTGCGGTGCCTGGCGAGTTGTCCTGTTTAGTAGAACCCTGGCATATCCAGGTGCTGGAAATGCTTGTTGATGCCCATCAAGTGCATTTTTCCTGTTATACGTTATTTCTAAAAAATCCCATGTGAGGGATTACTAGAGTTTGAAGGTGGCAGTTGATTTTGATAGGCCTCTGTTGCTCACCTGTAAAACACTGACATTCTGCTAATAAAGGAGAAGTGACTGCTAGGTTAGCAATAGGAGGCGTCTGCATATTTTTAAATTTTTTGGAGACAGAATCTTATTGTGTAGTTCAGGCTGGCCTTCAACTCCCTTGAACTCATTATGTAGACCAGGCTGGCCTCAAACTTACAGCGATTCTCCTGCTGCAGCCTCCTGAGTGCTGGGATTACAGATGTGCATCACCACACCCAGCAAACATAGGGTTTTACAGATACTTCCTATATACCTGTGAAGAAAGTAACTTTCTAATGAAGAATCGTGCTGGGGATGTGGCTCAGCTATAGAGTGTTGCTTAGTGTGCATGAGGCCTGCTTTCAACCCCTAGTACCACCACTAACACAAGACAAGAAGGGACAAGAAAGTCTTTTTTTTTTTTTTGGTACTGGGGACCAAACTCATGACCATATGTTGCAGGCTTATATCGGCACAGTTTTGAAAGTCCTATTTTTAGGACATGAAAGCTGGGTTTAGTGAGACATTGTAAGTTGCTGTAGTTTGGTACTTAGTTAAGCAGTTCTCCCATACATCACATGAGAATAGGTCATTTTTAGGAACTAAAGTTCTTTCACCTTTTTGTGGGGGAGTACTAGGGATTGAACTCATAACCGCGTGCTTGCAAGATAGGCGCTTATGCTGCTGAGCTAAATCCCCAGCTGTACTCTAGTTCTTTCACCTGTTACATGCTGAATTGTTACCTTAAAGCTACTTACCTGCCCATATTTTAGGAAATTTGCAGGTAACAGGAAAGTAAAATTTAATAGCCCTGAATAATCCATATGCCATTGTTACATGCTATTAATTGGTCACTACATTTGTTGCAAGTTATTTTTTCTAATAAGGTACTTATTGGGAAAAAAAAAACAACTAAAGTTTGTATTACTTTAAGTATGTCTGGGAAATCTTTTCTTGATTCTTACCTTTTTTTTTGTCTTTTTCGTTTTTATCGGTACCAGGGATCGAACTCATGACTGCCTGCTTGCAAGGCAGACGCTTATGCCGCTGAGCTAAATCCCCAGCCCAATTCTTACCTTTTTAAGATTTATTACCTTAACCCATAGAATCTGTGATTTTAAAATTTGATTTGAGATGTTCTGCCCCCATCTCCCTTTTCTCTAGCTTGGAGAAGAGAGTGAAGGAGATTGTACATAAAGCTTTTTGGGACTGCCTGAGTGTCCAGCTAAGTGAAAACCCCCCGACCTATGACCATGCCATCAAACTTGTGGGAGAGATCAAAGAGGTGAGCCGAGTGAGTTGAGGTGCCCAGCAGTGTTTACCCAGCCTCTTTGTCTTTCTGTTCCTGAAGACATTAAAGAAATGGAAAGATGACAAAGCTAAATTACTTGCAGAAATACAGGTTATTTTTGACTTAAAAATTATTTTACAAATTTTAATAGGTATGGATATAATGTAACATAGTCTCTGGAATAGAAAACATTTTAGGTGACAGGACTTTTTGCAATGCTTTTAGCCATTGTCTTTTTTTTTGAGGTAGGCTTCTCACTGCATAGCCCAGGCTGGCCTTGAACTCATTTATGTATCTTAGGCTGTCCTCAAACTCACAGCGAACCTCCTGCCTCAGCCTCCTGAGTGCTAGGATTACAGATGTGCCACCTTGCCCAGCAGCTGTAGTCTTGAAGAAGACCTGCCTCTGTGGAAACTGGAATGGACAGTTGGCTCCTGTGTTCATGCTAATAAGTGTGTTCTTTTCCCTCCAACATTTGTTTCTTGTATCCAGGTGGTAGATACTAGAGTGTTTTGTTTTTTTGTTTTTTTTTTTATCGGTACCGGGGATCGAACTCACGACCACCTGCTTGTAAAGCAGGTGCTTATGCTGCTGAGCTAAACCCCCAGCTCCGATACTAGAGTTTAAATAGAAACTTCAGTAGCTATTCTAACTGAACTTGTAAGATTCTTCTCTGTAGATTTGTTGAAAAAGAGGTTAGAATGTGTACAGCCTTTCAGTGGCAGTTGGTGAAGGGCTTATTTGGATAGTTATACATTCTTTCATGTATAATCCAAAACAGTGTCTGACTGAGAAACTTCGATTAAACCTAGCTGTGCTCTCTTGTAGACACTTTTATCTTTCTTGCTGCCTGGTCACACTAGACTGAGAAACCAGATAACAGAAGTCTTGGATCTGGATCTGATAAAGCAGGAAGCAGAGAACGGAGCCCTAGACATTTCTAAGCTGGCAGAATTCATCATTGGCATGATGGGGACCCTGTGTGCACCTGCTCGCGATGAGGAAGTTAAGAAACTAAAGGACATTAAGGAAATCGTGCCCCTCTTCAGGTATGGAGGTGTGCGGACTGAACGCAGTATACCTAAACACAAGCCCAATTTCAGACTTAAACTTCCTAAAGTCTAGGTGCTGAGGTATTTAAAATTTAAAGCAAACATCCATAATAGTGAAAATTAGAAGGAAGGAAGAAAACACCCGTAATTTTACCATATAACAGTCATAATTCTCTGAACAACTAGGATGAACATAACAATACAGGATGTATTACTGTTATTCTCCTACTAGCCTGTTTTGAAACACTGTTTTATTATTTTTACTTTTTTCTGTTTAAAGTTAAAAAAAGCCACAATCACTGTTTTCATTTTATATGTATATATATTTTGTTTTGTCTAATTTTTGTGGTAGTGAAGCCTGAACCCAGGGCTTCCTGCACGCGAGGCAAGTGCTGCTGCACACAGCTGCGTACATCCCCAGCCTTGTGTGTTCCAGCTTGAGACGGGGTCTCACTGAGTTGTCCTCTGTAACCAGGCACTTGTAATCCTCCTGCTTCGTCCTCCTGAGTAGCTGGAATTACAGGTGTGTACATGTGCTTGGCTGCTGTGTATAGTTTATTTTGAAAAATTCCAAGCCTGCAGGAAAGTTGCAGAAACAGTACAGTCAGCTCTCAGATGCGATTTACCTTCGGGTAAATCTATATTTTGTCACGGCTGCTTTATTGTTTAATATACATCTATGTGACCACACCTCCCTCCTGTCCTGCCAACCTTCTGAGGATTAATGACAACTTTATGACATTTTACCCTTAAATATTTCAGAACTACCTCCTAAGAATGTAGACATTGGAGCTGGGGATTTAGCTCAGCGGCATAAGCGCCTTCCTTGCAAGTGTGCAGTCGTGAGTTCGATCCCTGGTACCAATAAAAACGAAAAAGACAAAAAAAAAAAAAAAAGAATGTAGACATTGTTTTATTCACAATATAGCCAAGATGTTAAATCTAACATTGCTGGGGATTTACTCAGCAGCATAAGCACCTGCCTGGCAAGCGTGAGGTCATGAAAGTTCGATCCCTGGTACCAAAAAAAAAAACCTGACAGTATAATCCTGTTGACATATGTATTAATGTGTACTCCATATTTTTGGAGGATACCAGGATGGCTCCCCTGCTGCCATTTGCTTCTATTTTGATTCACCTTTGTCCTACAGATTTGTGCAGAGCTGGCCAGGGAAGTGCTCTCCCTCACCATCAGTCAGCTTTAAGCAGTGTGAATGGGTCTAGCTGAGGCTCCTGTGTGTAACCTTTGAGGCAAAGTCACAGGTCAGCAATGCCCGCCCATAACTCCCTGCTAGGCCAGGGACTCCGTACTATGGGCTGGGATTGAAAACACAAGACCCTGCTGCAGACTGTTACTCAGATTCCTCCAAGCTTAGCGGCTCCCTGTCACTAGAATCCCTCACTCTCTCTCTCTGCATGCTGCAGAGGTGCCATCCTGCCCCTGCCCAGCCCAGCTCAGGGGGATCCCATTGTTCCATTCTACAGTCACTCACCCAGCCTCCCCCCTCTCACGAATTAATGAAACCAATGTTAGGCCCTGGGCTGAGGCCTTTGTTCTGGCTAGTTAGCCTTTGTTCCAACTGGACTCAGGACTCTCCTGGCTCCCCACAACGGCAAATACGTCTTTGTCTCTTTATTCTTGCTGTGGGTTGCATTGGGAGTGGTAGATTGGGATTTACTTGTGAGAATTCTAGTAACTTGTCCCTGGGATTACAATTTATAAACTGTGGCCCACAACTGGATGCCTATACATTTTTGGTTTTGGTGGTGCCGAGGATTGAACCCAGGGCCTTGTGCATGCTAGGCCAGTGCCTGACCACTGAGTCATGCCTCCAGCCCCCTGAGTATTTAAATTTATTTTTAATTTATTATTATTATTGTTATTATTTTTGAGACAGGTTCTCACTATGTAGTCCAGGCTGGTTTGAACTCACTATGTAGCCCAGGCTGGCCTTGAACTTTCGGGGGTCCTCCTGGCTCAACCTTCCAAGTGCTGGGATTACAGGCATGTGCCACCACACCCAGCAAATACTTAATTTTAAATACATGATTGTGATAAAGTTCCTATAATTATTATGCTAACATAGGTGAAAGGATGATGTGATGCTACTGAAGATTGGGTTTTTTTTTAAGACACGGTCTCACTGTGTACTTTAGGCTGGCCTTGAACTCACTGTGTAGTCCAGGCTGGCTTGGAATTCACGGCAGTCTTCCCGCCTCAGCCTCCCAGCTGCGCTACTGTGCCCAGCACGAGAGACTGATTTTGATTAACTGTTTAGCTTAATTTCCCTTTCAACAGATAAAGATGTTATTTGTCAAAATGATACTGGGCCATAGTGCCTACAGGGGAAATGACCTCAGAGCCATACATGGCACTGGACTAGAAGGGATCATAATGCACTGTAAACAAAGGGTGACTTTTATGACTGGGCATGTCCCTCGGGGGAGCTCAAAGCCATGTTGGAGAGTAGTTTTCCAACACACTGGCTCCCATGGGCCCTGAGGCTCCCGCTGGGCAACTGCACGTGGACATGGCCATCCCCACATCTGGGCGGTCAGCGTCTGGCTGTCACAGTTGCTCTTGCTGAGAGGCTACTCGGGGCCGCCCTGCTGGCAGGCTGAGTGACACAGATACCACACATGTGGCCCCCATGGCTCTCGGGACTGGATGTGCAGCTGTACAGAGGAGACCCCGTAGGACAGGTGGTTCTGACTGTTCCTGTGCTGGTCACATAATTAGCTTTCTTACTGGAAGTCTTTTTGGTACAATAACATGGAGTTGTTGGAGACACAGACTCATCATGCAGTCTTCGCTGATGGCGACACTGTGCAGAGCTACCGTAGAGTCTCACAACCGGGACCCTGCCATTGGTAAAGCCTGCTGTTGATGTAGATTTGCTGTTTTACTTGTTCTTATTTGTATATGCTTTTGTATGAACTCTACTTCAATCTTGTATCTGTGTAAGTTTGTGTATCCCTTTTACATTCAAGATCCTGAACAGTTCCAGTGACACAAAAATCTCTCACATTGTCCGTAATCAGTGTCTATGGTTTTTTTGTTTGTTTGCTTTTGATTTTTTTGAGGCAGGATTTCACTGTGCAGTTCAGGCCAGCCCAGACTCACGACATAGCCCAGGCTGACCTCAGACTTGCTGCAATCTTCATGCCTCAGTCTCCCAAATGCTAGGATTATAGGTGTGTGCCACCACGCCCAGTTTTTTTTTTTAAAAGAAACTATCCACAAGCATTTCCAGTGGCAGGAAAATACTTGCATAGATAGAATTTTCTTCCTTAGAAGAGACAAATTAGTTTATAATTATCAGATATTTAACTGTGCAGTGAGTCCTTTGTGCACAGAACTTTCCTAAATATCAATTATTTTTTAGTTTTATTTTTGGTACTGGGGGTAGAACCCAGGTGCACTCTGCCACCGAGCTACAGTCCAGCCTTATTTATTATTTATTTATTCAGAGGCAGGGTCTTGATAAGTTGCCCCTGTGGGACTCGAGCTCGCAGTCTTCCTGCCTCAGTCTCCCTTGGTGTTGGGATTATAGGTGTGTGCTGCCACTCCAGACTCCAAACATGATTTGAGTGTGAGTAGGTGTGTGTGGTAGTAGGGATTGAGCGCAGTGCTTCACACTGAGCTATATAGCCTCACCCTTTTTATTTTCGTTTTGAGATAGGGTCTTTCTAAGCACTAAGTTGCCTAGCTGGGCTCAGACTTGTGATCCTTCTGCCTCGGCCTCCCACAGTGCTGTAGTGATGCAGTCCACCACTACATGTGACTGCCGTTGATTTGGACTTCACTGAATGTTACTACCAAGTTGCTTTCCAAAAATTCTATGAGAAAAGAATTTCTTATTTCCAGCTTCCATGATATAAAAGAGAATAGCACATTCTCTTTCATTTGTACAATAGATAACAAAAGGCCTTGCCAGGTGAGGTGGTGCACGTCTGTAACCCAGGCACCCTAGGAGGTAGAGCAGGAGAAGAACAAGTTAGAGCCCAGCCAGTTTAGTAACTTAGCGAGACCCTGTCTCAAAGTATAGAATTAGAACAAGGACAGGGAATGTAGCTCAGTCTGAGGGCCATTGGTTCAATCCTCAGTCCAGGGCTTGGTGGGAGATGTTACTTCAAGGTTTAGAAAGAGCAGTGAAAAGACTCCTAAAATAGTTACTGATTTTTCATTCATTTAGCAAGCTTTTATTGAGCCCTCTTACGTGCCGGACATGATATTGGACATCAGTTGTAAAATAAGGAGGTTTACAATCTAGCCAAGGTTAATGGGGAATTCCTTGGAAAAGTTCTTGGAGAAATACCTTGAAGCAAACTCAAACTTACACCATAAAGTAAAGGAATTGCACCAGGGTTGGGGGCAAATGCCTATATTCCAAGCTACTTGGGAGGCCAAGGCAGGAGGATTGCAAGTTTCAGGTCAGCCTGCGCAGTTTAGCAAAACTGTCTCAAAGTAAACTACAGAGGGCTGTGGTAGAGCATTTGCCTGGCACGCGCAGCTCTCAGGGTTCAACTCCCAGTGCAGCACACACACAAAAAGATGGGTCACAGATGCCCTGTCTGAGGGAGCTGGCAGTGTCTCCCAGTTCCAGCTGATTTGGACTGTGATGGGACGGGGGCCCAGCTTGTCTGGTCTTTTGATTTTTTAAGAGAAGGACATCAGGGGAAAGCAAAGGCCAGGGTGGCGTGCTGCCTGCCCCTCGCCTTGCCCGTGTGCACTGCCCTTGCTCTGTGGCTGCCTCACTGGCCTTTCTTCCCACCTTGGGGGACTGAGTGCGCCTCGTTGTTCTCTCTGGGCCGCTGGGGGCTCCGGGGACCTGGGGAGGTGAAGATGGGGGCAGGACACTGCCAAAAACCGCAGCCTTTCAGATTGTTAACGCTCATGCCTGTGTTTTCTAAACTTGTTTCCCTTCATCTTTTCTCTTGACTTTCCAGACATTTCTTGCTACCCCTTCTGAGAGGAAGACTCCCTCTGCCTGTCAGGGGTGCCTCCAAGTGCCTCGTGCTGAGGGCCTCCTTCTCTTGCAGGGCAATGTTCGCTGTGCTGGACCTCATGAAGGTGGACATGGCCAACTTCGCTATTAGCAGCATCCGACCCCACCTCATGCAGCAGTCGGTTGAGTACGAGAGGAAGAAGTTTCAGGAGCTGCTGGAGAAGCAGCCAAGTATGTTTCCTGCTTTTTTTTTTTTTTTTTCCGGTACTGGGACTCAAACTCAGGACCTTGGGCTTGCCAGGCAAGTGCTCATGCTGCTGAGCTGTCTCCCCAGCCTCTTTGGAGTACATTTTGTCCTCTGTTTTGCGTCATTTGTTGCTGTCACATCTGCAATGATACTTTTTGCAAAACAAAACTAAAATTATGTAATGGAATAGGCTAGCTACACACAGTCTAGAAACAGCGAGCTACAAGACTGCAGCTAACTCGGTACACACTGAAGAGAACATGCACAGGAACAGAGCGGGGTGGGTAGAAAGTGCGAACGAGAAGGAAAAAGTGAACGTGGTCCAGATTGAACGTTGGATAGTTGTAAATGAAAATGTCTTTGTTGCATGCATGCGTCATCTGGGTTCACACCTAGGACAAGTCTCATTTTTGTGAACCTCTCAGATGACTGCAGGAAAACATAACTAGAGAATCTATAGCAGCGTCATAGGTGTGAGGTGCTGTTTTGGTCTCTGCATTAGGAGCTAACATTCTGGGTGGACTTCAGTCTTCAGAGCCAGTTTACCATGAGCTCTAGGTGGCTGCGCCTCTGCCAGCAGCAGGGTGGTCCCGGTGCGCTGTGTGACAGGCCCAGATGGGAAAGGTAGATTCATCCACCTGACCCAGTTAGAGGCTGCAGGGGCCAGGAGGAGCCGGGGACAAACAGAGCAGGAGTGGGGCAGGGTGGGGGCGGGGGAATGACACTGCACACACAGCTGGGCAGCTGGCACAGTTGCATGCCCAGGGAGCCACAGGGGCCGCAAGTGGGGTGCCGGAAGTGGGGTGCAATGCAGAGCGCTGCTGAAGCAGAAGCGCAGGCCAGTCCCTGCTCTGCTGGGGTTTGAGACTTGTCCACCACGTGGACACCAAGGTTTCCAGGCTGGTGGCTGCAGAGAGTGCTTCCTGCTGGGGCAGCCAGCCAGGGAAGCAGGTGTGGCAGGAAGGGGTGGGCAGCAGCCACACCTGGGGACCCACTTGGTTTCAAGGAGGCCTCAGCTGGCCGAGCTGCAACTCCTCCAGGATCTGGCTGGTGCAGTTTTTGCTTATAATGCAGACAAGATCCTCATGGTCTTTCTGTGGATGCGTCGGAATACTTGATGCAGTGCTCAGCTTAGAGACGCTACGGAGGCCAGACACAGGTGACAGTCAACCAAGGGCCCCTCTGGCTCCTTCCCAGTAGGGAATTCCACATGAAACATGGACCTCAGTTAAGCCGGTCCACAGAAGAGGCTGTGCTGCAGGGGGAGCTCCAGGGGCCTCAGCCCATCAGCCTTGGGGCAGGAACATCTGCTCTCACAGAGCTGGAGTCATCCGAACTTCCGGTCTCTTGCAGGGTCAGGCTGGGGAAGGAAGGTGGCAGAACTGGTAGGTGGCAGGGCCTGGCCGGTTGCTGTGCCCCACAGCCCATGAGGTGCGTCTTGTAAATTTCCTTACCCCAGGAAACCAATATTCAGACAGCTTTGAGATGACTCAGCTAGTGATGGGCAGGACTATGATTCAATCTAAGTTTTATCTGATACCTGAAGCTCACAGAGTTCATTCCTGGCACCGTGTTATACCAGCAGGACAGGCTTCTCCCAAGCAGTTCCCAGAAGCTGCCGCTCGGTGCCCTGTAACATTTGCAGCTTTGTTTTACAGATTCCCTGGACTTTGTCACCCAGTGGCTGGAAGAAGCCACTGCTGACCTCATGACTCAGAGGTGCAGACTAGCCCTGCCCGAGGGGAAGGCTGCTGGCTCCAAGGATGCCCTTGTGCCGAGCCCGGTGTCCGTCCAGAACTACGCCTACCTGAAGCTGCTGAAGTGGGACCACCTCCACAGACCTTTCCCCGAGGTCAGTGCTGGGGCGGGCTGCACTGTGTTTCACTGTGTGCTGCTGGGCCCAGAATTCTCCCTTACAGTGTGCAATGCTGTGGTTTTTAGTTTTTGATTTTTTAAAAAAATTTTATTTTTAGTTTTTTTTTGTCTCTTTTGAGACAGGGTGTGGCTGTGCCTCTGGCTCACTTTGTAGCCCAGGCTCCTCTTGCCTCAGCCTCCTGAGTGCTGTTTAGCATATAGTTAGACTAATGCAACTGTTACCACTAGTTAATTTAGAGTATTTTCGTTACCCTGAAAAGAAACCCTATCCGCTCTAGCAGTCACTGCCCTTGCTGTGCTCCTTACATCCCCTGCTGCCTGCCCTGTCGGCCTCTCATCCTGGGTGTCTGAGGTAGACAGTGTGGGCCTTTGGTTCTGGCTTCCTTCGGGAAGTGTAACGTCCATCTGTGTGGTAGTGTATAGCAAGACTTCATTTTCCCTTGTATTTTTTTTTATTGCAGTAAAATACATATACTATAAAGCTACTATTTTAACTGTTTTTAAGTATACAGTGGTAGGGGGCCAGGGATTCAGCTCAGCAGCTCAAGCACTTGCCTGGTAAGCGTGAGGTCATGAGCTCCATCCCTGGTACCAAAAACAAACAATTAAGTATACAGTGGCATTAAGTTCATTCTCATTATTGTGCAGCCATCAAACAGTAATTCCCTGCTGCACTCCCGTCATCCCAGCCCTTTGATGGCTGAGGCAGGAGGATCACTTCAAATTTGAGGCCAGCCTGGACTACATAGTGAGACTCTGTCTCAAATAGATAACAACAGACACAAAACACAAACAGGAAATCCCCATTACATGGCCCTGGCAGCCACAGCTCTAGCTTTCTGTAAGTGGGATCGTCCAGGGTCCGGCCTTTTGTGCCCTGCCTGTTTACTTCGCATTATGTCCTCGAGGCTCATGGTGTAGTGGACATCACCATCTCCCCCCTCTTAAGATGGAGTAATTTCTTCCTTCGTGTGGTCAGCCGCTGGACGGTGCTGTTGTTTCTGCTTCGGGCTGCTGTGCAGTGCGCATTTGTGACCATTTGTTGACATGGATGGACATTTTCATGTCGTGATTCCATGCCTAGGACTGGAGTTGCAAGGTGACGTGGTCACTCTCAGCGTACCCCTTTGAGGAAGCACCAGGTTTGTAAAGCACCGAATCACTTTTCAGTGCCCCCAGCGAGGTATGATGCTTCCAATTGGTGCATCTTCTTTTTTCCTCCCTGTTTTTAACCCTTTTGATCAAAACCACAGCAGTGATGTTGCTTCACAGCTTTCTCTTTTTTTTATTTTTATTTATTTATTTATTTTTTTAAAAGCCAGTCAAATTTAGCAGTGGGGGGGGTGGTATACCAACTTTAGTGACACTAATGTTAATAAGTTCTGATAACCCACTGCCATCGGACCAGCCCACAGCTTTCTCTTAAAAAACAACTTCTGCTCCCACGCTAGGCTACGCCCAGCTGTAGTCAGCCTGCGAGCCAGGAGCATCGAGGAACTCCCCTAGTTTGTCTCTGAGGAGCCAGCGTGGTGCAGCCTCCCCAGCTGTGGGGAAGACAGTGATGTCCTCGGGGTCAGGTGTCTGGATTGGGAGCAGCCTGAGGACACCTTCTGCCACTCAGCTGAAATACACACGCAGAGGCCACAGAGTGCAGTGCAGTCAGAGCGAAGGAGCAGAGTGAGCTCAGAGAGGAGACAGACAGGGAGTCCTTCACACAGACCTGCGTGCCCTCAGCCTTCAAACAGTCTCTCTTCCTGATTTGGAAGGTTGGGCTTTGACCCCAGACTGTTAACGTCTTGATGGGTCCTTAGACGTCCAGGTGTGGAGCTTGTAAGCACTTGGGGCTGAAGTGGGCTGCTTGGCCTTTCCACTGCTCTGCTCCAGCCACACTCAGTTCTCTGGCATGGCAGGAGCAAGGCTGTGTCATCCCAGGGGTGCTGTCAGCTCTGCTCCGAGATCTGGCGGCTCCTTTCACTACGTGGTCCCCAAGCATCTCCTTGCTGCAGGCTGCTGGGGGATGGCGGGGCTGTGCCCTCACGGCTGACTTCCTGTGGCTTGTTGGGGCCCAGGAGGGTACTTCACAGGATTGGGAGTTTCCAATCAGAGAATGGGGGCAGCAGCACAAACCAGGAGGTGTTGGTCACCTTAGCTTTGTACCTCATTTCTTTTTCCTTTTTTGTTTTGGTACCAGGGATCGAACTCAAAACCTCATGCTTGCAAGGCAAGTGCTTATGCCGCTGAGCTAAATGCCTGGATCTCTTTCCTTTTTGATACTGCAGCATTTCTCTGTCTATCCATCTATCTATGCAGTACTGGGAATTGAACCCAGGGCCTTTATCCTGGGCTATATCCTTATTTTTTATTTTGAGACAGAATCCTGCTATGTTGTCCAGTCTGGGCTTGAACTTGTGATCTTCCTGCCTCAGCCTCTGAGAGTGCTGGGATTACAGCCTCTGAGAGTGCTGCCACACCCAGCAACTTTTATTTATTGAGCATTGGTTTGCTCACCATTCCACTTGCACTGCCTTTGTCATTCTTCACAGATCCCCAGAAGAGGGGTTACCCTTTTTGCCTAGCTGAGAGGGCCCAGGTCACGCTGCTGTGTGTGATGGAGCCTGTATTTGCACCCAGTCTGCCGCGGATCCTTCCTGAGTGTGCCTGTGGCCTCCCTTCTCAGGAAGAGCACTGAGAGGCGGAGAATTAGTCCTAGCTCGGCTCACAAGTGACTCCTGAGGGGACTGAGTGGCAGAGACGGCGCTGGGCTGGGCCCTGCTGCCCTCTGCTGGCCGTTCATGTCTCAGCACAGCGCTGTCCTGTGTTGTCCTTGCAGACAGTGCTGATGGACCAGCTGCGTTTCCAGGAGCTGCAGGGGCAGCTGGAGCAGCTGACCGTGCTGGGGGCCGTGCTGCTGGTCACGTTCAGCATGGCGGGGGCTGGCGTCGCCAGCCAGGCCGACTTCGCCGAGAGACTCAAGATGGTCCTGAAGGTCCTGCTGGCTGACATGAACCTGCCGTGAGTGAGGCTGCACATGCGTAGAGGGTGGGCAGGGGCAGTGGCTTCCAGTGCCCCCCACAGCAGGGTGCGGGGAGACCTCGCGCTGTAACTATGCTCCCTACTGCAGACTGAGCCGCGGGTCACAGACAGGGTCGCTGAAGGGGTAGCGGGGCTCTGAGATCCTGGCTTTCAGATGTTAGCTAAGGAACTCCTTTCCCATTGTGACCTGGTACGTGTTTGTGCACCTCTGTAACTGAAATGACAGGCTCACAAGATGGAACTTATGCTAAGTCCCATGTGTGCTGGTATCTTCTACACTTAGTCCACTTTAAGAAAAAAAAAAAAAAAAAAGGAAAAAAAAGACTGAATTGCAATGAAAAACAGGGCTGGGGATTTAGCTCAGCGGCATAAGCGCCTGCCTTGCAAGTGCATGGTCGTGAGTTCGATCCCTGGTACCGATTAAAAAAAAAAAAAACAACGGAACCCTAGAGCCAGGAATGCTGGTATTACCTACAGGCCCAGCACTCAGGAGGCTGAGGCAGGAAGATCGCCATGAGTTTGAAGCTAGCCTGAGCTGCATAGTGAGTTCAAGATCATCCACAACCACATAGTGACACACTGTCTAAAGAACAAAACAATAAAAACAAAAACCAGATCCCTGGAGAAACCCAGGCGATCAGCAATCCACACAAGGGTGGTCCATTGCTTCAGCTAGAGCTCGTGGAGGGACGCGCCCAACCACAGAGGGGCAGACAGGAGATGCTGTTCCCACTCCTCACACATGCGCCCGTGCAGCCTGTGCTGTGCCTCAGTGCACGCCAAGACTGCAGCAGCTCTGCTCTGGCCCAGCCCGAATGTGCGCATCACTGAGGATTGAGCCCAGGGCCCTTGCACTGAGCTGCATCCCTTCCCTCCCCCACCCCGTTTATTTATTTTTTTTAACTTTTTCATTTGCCCCAGGGTCTCACTAAGTCACTGAGGTACCTAGGCTGGGCTTCAACTTCTGTTTCTTCTGCCTCAGCCCCCGAGAGTGCTGGAATTGCTGGGGTGCACCATCCCACCTGGTTCAGAGGTTTCTGAATGTTTCTGCATAAACTTTGTGTCTGACAAGGCCCAGTTTGGAGGATTGAAATAACTACTCCAACCTTCTCAGGCTCTCAGGGAGGGACCTGCACAAAGTGTGGGTGCGTGGGTGCAGCGTGGGGTGTCACAGCACAGGGGCTTTGCGCAGCTGAGGCCTAGCTTGAGGCTGGGGGCAGGTGTGGCCCTGCTGTTGCTGCCGGAGCCCCGCGCTGCCCACTCCCTCCACACAAGGGTTAGATCCACAACCCACATCGGGACATGGATTTTTCCCTCACCGTCACACACCAGGAAGCCCTGCAGGCTGGCAGTGACGTTTCCTCTGCACCGCTGCCACCTCCTGTCCCCCTCCCGAGCGCTCCTGGGCTCAGATCCACCAAGTCCTAGCCTGACGCTGCTTGGCACAGTCGGTCCCCTTCAGAGGAGCCCGGCCCCTTCTGTCCCTGGAGCAGCGGAGGGAAGCCCCGGCCGCAGGTGTGCGCAGCCGCTTAGCTGCCTGCTCTCTGCTCCGCAGCTCCTTCCGCCTGGACGAGGCCCTGAGCGCCGTCGGGGAGAGAGTGTGCCTGGAGCTGAGCGGCTGCCTGGCACGCTGCGGAGCCCCCGCCTTCTCCGCCGACAAGGAGGCCGTGCTCAAGGGCCGAATCCGGGCCGTGGGTGGCCCCGACGACCCCGTCCGCAGGATCATGGGTACGTGGGGAGCACGGGAGGTCACACAGGGACACGGGCAGGGAGCGGGCGCGATCATCATTGCGTGATGAGCAGGGTGCCTGTGGATGGGCAGATGACCAGCCAGGCGCCACTGTCCAAGGCTTCAAAGCCCAGAATTGCAGGCCCTGGTTCCGGAAAGGGACGGTGCCCACAGGCGGGCGGGCAGGCGGCTGGTGTGAGGCGTATCACTCACACTGGGAGGACTCAGGGAAATGAAGAGTTACTAACAGAGCTGACAAATGTAAAATAAGCTAAAATAAAAAGTACTGCTACCTATTCGCCAGACACGGTGGCGCGCTGCTACAGTCTGGCTACTCCGGCGAGGAGGAGGAGACTGCAGGTCCCCGAGCAGGGAACCCAGTCCGTGCCCCATGGGAAGCCCCGGGGCAGGCACAGGGCATGGGATGGAGAATCCCATTTGGGATCCATCTAGGCGCAGGACATGTGTGGATGGACCTGTCTTGGTGACACCCATGGAGTGACATTAACAGGTATTAGTAATAAAAGAGGCAAAGGATAAAAGTCCTCGTTTTTGTGATAAATCTGCTAGAAGCGTGGCTGGATGGACCCCGCCCCCCAGCCGACAGGAGAGGACAGGGGTGGGAGAGGAGAACCCGTTGCCCCATCTGTCCAAATTGCTCCTCCCCGCCAACCTCCGGGGCAGTTGGGGGGTTCTCCCTGTGGGCCCAGGGGAAGAGAGCTCACAGATCTAGGGTGCCGGATCTTTTCTTCCCTCTTTGAGCCGCTGCAGCCGCCCAGAGCCCAGTGCTGCAGAGGGGATGAGCACTGCCTGCCACCCCGCCCTCGGAGCACTCAGCCGTGAGAAGCACTGAACCGGGCTGACCGGTTAGAAGGGCGCTGCAGTTCAGCCCTGGGCAGTGGGCAGACGTCCCGAGAGAGGTGGCGGCAAAGCTAGGAATGGGAGCGCAGCCAGAAGCCTGTGCAGTCACTTTGAACGGGAACAGCTAATCCCTTCTTTTTCCGTCCAGTACTGGTAGTGGAACCCAGGGCCTCCCTCACGCATGCTTGGCAAATGCTCCGCTGCTGCGTGGCGTCCCCACCCCTACTAATCACGTTCTTTCCTATCACAGAATCCCGAGTCCTGACCTTTTTGGAAACCTACCTTGCCTCGGGTCACCAGAAGCCAATGCCCACAGTGCCAGGGGGATTGGGGCCAGTTCAGAAAGAGCTGGAGGAAGTTGCCGTCAAATTCGTCCGCCTGGTCAACTACAACAAGATGGTCTTCTGCCCCTACTACGACGCCATCCTCAGCAAGCTCCTCCTCCGGTCCTAGACGCACGCCCCGGCCACAGCCTTGGTCCCTGGCCCACACCCTGGCTCCGCTCCGCCAGCGCTTCGGGGGAATGGCTGAGTAGCTCGTTCTGTACAGCAGCACTCATCCCAAGGGGCAGCACCTCGGGGGTCCCTGGTGGAAAAACTTGCTGGAGAAGGCGCTGAGTTGTATTTTGAGAGATTGTATTTATGAGTGCAAGTTTACAAATCAAAGAAGTTTTTGTTACCTTGAATTTTATAAGTAACTCTCAGCTTTTTAGCAGTTGATTGCTGTGTCTCCACTGTTACCCCACAGACTGCAGTGGCCGCGTCCTCCCGAGGAGGCCGGGACCCTGTCCTGCTGGCCAGGTGGCCTCCTGGCAGATGGCCCATGCTGACTGCCTCCAGGAGTACAGGAGGCCAAGCCCTGACTTCATCTCTTGGCCCTCCCTTGCAGAGCCCCCACTCCTCTTCGCCACAGGCAGTTTGTGTTAGCTAGCAGGGCCGTATTTATCACCTTACACACACACACACACAACCGTTGCTTCAGCCATGCCTGGCAAGGCCAGGGCCCTGGAGCCCTTTAGTTTCAGAGCAGAGTAGATTCTAAAAAGCTTGTTCTTCTGTGCTGAGGATGTAGGTGTTAAGTGCTTGCCTGGCATGGGCAAGGCCCTCGGTTCAGTCCCGGCCACTTCCAAAAAGAAAAATGAGCAAGAGAAAGAAACAGCAAAAGCTATCCAAGCAGCACCGTGCAATGCCTGCAGTGCTGTGGTCCCGCCTGCTTGGGAGGCTGAGGCAACAAGATGATTTGGGCCCAAGAGTTTAGAGACTGTGTCTAAAAGCAAAGCTTATTCTTTTTTTACAGGATTACTGTAACCGAACTGGACAATAGCCGTTAAGTCTATGAGATCTAAAGAAAAGAATTTCCTTTACTTGTTAGCCCAGAAAGTTAAGGTGGAGATTTCGAAGATATGTATTTATGTATATACACACATATTTATGTATTTATACATATAGTTTAGTGTAATAAGAAAGAAATGTCTGAGGTTTTTTATTGAAAAATTCACTCTGAGGTAGTACACAGATGTGTTGATTTTGAATTCTGGAACTAGATTAAAGTATTTTTAGTTAAAAGAGCCCAATCTCACTAATCTAGACAAAGAAGTCTCAGAATAATCCCTGGTAACTGGGTAGGAATTTTCAAGCGCACAGTGACCAGAATTCCTGGCATGCCCTGTGACTGCAAGTAATTTGAGTCTCACAGATGATCAGCTTTAAAAAATAAATAAATAAAAAGTGTACACGCATGTGTGTTTTAGACCAGGGATACAAGAAGCAGAGCTGTGTCTCTGGAATGACCTCACCTGTCAGAACGGGAAGGAGTAAAATTATGTGGTGACCCCTGTATGAATGGCGGGGCGGGGTGGGGTGGGGTGGGGGAGGCTGGAGCGAAAGGTCGAGAAACATTCATCCTCTGACTGTCGGGGTGCCTGGCTCGATGGGAGCGAGTGGCTGGGGGATGTGGTCTCTGGGTATGTGCTTCTGACCAGACTCTAATGCTGCTTTCTCCTTGCAGTCAGAAGTGTGCTGACGATGTGCTTAAAAGATCACTGAATTCAGACTTAAGGACAGATTTTCCCGGATTTCTTACAGGCTAGTGGTTCAGCAAGAGAGACACAAAAGTCACACAGCAGGATGGGGTTGTAGCTCGTGGGGTAGCGTAGAGTGTTGGCCTCGCATGTGTGAAATCCTGGATTTGACTCTAAGCACAGGAAAAAAAAGTAGAAAAAACATGGAAGCAATTTCAGAAAGGTCCCAGGAAAACTGAAAGCTACTCCTGAGCAATCAGGAGGAAAAGGCCATGTTTCATGGTTTTTGGTTTGTTTTATCTTGCTTTTTGAGATAGGGTCTCACAGGGTAGCCCAGGCCAGCCTTGAACTTGGCAGGGGTCCTGCTTCACCTCCTGAGGGCTGGGGTTACAGGTATGCACCACTACACCTGGCTGATTGTGATGTTTGAAAGAAGGCTAGTTATCTGAGAAAGTGTTTCTGATCGGATTTTTTCCAGAGCCTCATTCATTTGTTGTTACCACTCTGGAGAGGCCAAGGGGGTGGTTTTTGGATTGTCTCACCTCACTGCCCGCTGGGTTTGCTTTTGGTAAAATGGGTGTCTGGGATTGTGTCTTGTTTAGATGTCTTCTCATTTGCATATTTTAGTATTGGGGTTGATGCCTATAAACTGCAATGGTGAGTAGCTCTATTGCTCTCGTTTAGAAACTCTAGGAAATGACTTCTCTGTGGTGTCTTTCTGCTGTAGCTGGCTTTGAAGTTGTGAGTCTGTTTGAGCCACATCTGCCAGAAGATCTCATCTCCTCTGTTTGCTGGCATGAGAGGTTGCTGCCTGCTTGGCCCAGCTGCTAATTCTTTGGCACTGGCCCATGGTATTTTCTATGACCCTTAGGCAATCTCCGTCTTGAAAACAGCTGGTTAGAACACTTATATCACTTTAGCTAAAGTGATATAATCAGCAATAGCATTAAACAGCCTAGAAAATAACAAACTTGAGGTAATCATTAATTTGTCATCTTTAACCATAAGAACTAGATTTGTGATTATATAACAAAATCTAAAACTAGAAAATTATGTGCAGTAAATAAGTGCTTAATGTCAGTTGCACCCGGGGGGGGGGGATTTTAAAAGGGCTTAGGAAAAAATTAGAGAAATGGAAGAGATTGGAGGCAAGGCTGGAGGACAAAGGGGGTTATGCAAACCTTGGGAAACTGGTGCAGAAGACATGAGGGAAAGAAAAGGAAGAACAGAACAGAATAACAACCACAAAAAAGCTAGAAACGGTGTTCACACTCAAAAAACCAAGATCAAACCATGAAGGAGAAAAAAAAAGACATCAGAAAAGGCCACTTTCAGATTGTCTGTGTTGTCACACTGGTAGACAGCGTGTGGAGACAGTCCAGATCTGTGCTGATTTATCCCAGCAGGCCAGCAGCAGCTTTTTGGCAGGCAGTGGGTAAAACTCAGTGAGCCTGAGCCCGGCTGGTGTGGAGCTGGCAGCCACAGCCAGAGTTCTGAGCTCAGCTGGCCTCTCCCAGGTGGCTTCCCTCGGCTGCCCCTTCTGCCGGCACAGCCCAGGCCTCAGCACTCCCTGCAGCCAGTGCAGTCCTTCGCATCCCCTGCTCCTCTCCACTGCTGCTGGGGTTGCCAGCAGTTACTGTGTGTCACCAGGTTCAAACCTCTAGTGCAGTGAATCCCATCTGAGGGGGGTGGGGGGCTCCGCCACTGCCGCCGCCTCCGTGAAGTTTCTCTCTTCATTCATCTGTGGGGTTCCATCCTTGCTAAAGATCCTTCCTGGGTCCAGGGTCCCTTCCCTCCTCTTCGTGGCCCTGCTATGTTCCAGCACCTGTACAGCAAGTGTGCGAGAGGCTCTTTCTCTGCACTCTCGCTGCGCGTCTTCCCGTAAGTCTGGAAGGAAGAGCAGTGGAAGGGCGGAAGAGTGGGCCCCTGCAGGCGGGAGCAACGGTACTGCAGGTCGAAGAGCGGAAGCAGGGTCTCTGAGGTTTCAGACCGGCAGTATCAGATGTGCTCTGTTCGGGGTAATGTTGGAACTCCCGAGGGTGCCGGGTGCATACGCAGGTGCATGTGGTTATAGGAGCTTGGTGAGAGGCCGTGTGTAAGCAGATGAGCCATGAACTTGCTTCCAGTTGCTTCCAGAGCAGAGGCAGATAAGATGTATCTTTAGGTCTCTGGAAAATCTGGGGTCACTGTTCCCTGGCAGACTAGGTGAAAGTACTTTTAAAGAAAAAAAATTTGTGCTTTATAATCACTTCAAGGCCCCTTTAGGATCACTGCTTTGAGTGAGATGCAGCTGTGTCTGTGGTCACTGTGCTTGTTGGTGGACAAACTGGGTTCCAGAGCCAGGAAGCCTGGTCTCCGGGCAGCTGCGGGGCCAGACAGCCTGGGGCTCCTGCTCCCCTCCAAGGACAGGAGTGCCACCCAGCCGCACAGTGGAGCAACCCTTGGACACCATTCCCGCAGCAGCTTCCCGAATTTCCAGCAGTTCTTTTTTCTTTTTCTTTTGGTCTTTTTGAGAAGGTTTTGCTATGCAGTTCAGGCTGGACTTGAACTCACTTTGTAGCCCAGGCCAGCCTTGAAGCAATTCTCCTGCCTCAGCCTCCCAAGTGCTGGAATTACAGGAGTGCACCACCACACCTGGGCTCCAACTCCTCTAACAAGCTGTTTTCCTGCATGGGTTTCCAAATCAGCATCATTGAGTTTAGGCAGTTGGAGTCTTTCTTTTTTAGGGGAGGGGAGGTACCAGGGATCAAACTCATGCCAGGCAGACACTTATGCCCCTGAGCTAAATCCCAGGCCCTGGAATCTTGCTTGTAGAGTAGGCAGTGTCACAGACTCTCGGCCCGTGCCCTCCTCTGCCCGCTGCCAGAGGCCTCAGCCTGCGTGAGCCAGAGCAGAGGTTCTTGGAAACAGTATGCAGAGCCACGGTGTTCACGTTTAATTGTTTCGTTCTTGCTATCAAGATAAGTGAGCTGATTTTCTCCTGTTCTCATAGCACTGGCACTGAAGGCCAGGAAGATTCCCACGGTTCAGTCAGTTAGGCGATGTTAAGAAACTGGGACTTGAAACATACCCCAGCAGCGCCCCCTCCTGGACAAAATGTTTCGGAGTAATCCTTCTGGATTAAGTCAGTAACGATGGGGGGACTTGATTTCCTGCCTCACCTGTTCGTGCAGACAAGTGTCTTCCCAGAGACGGACGCTTGGGGGCGCTGTACCGCAGTGGAGGGAATGAAGGCCTGGGAGCAGCAGCTCCTGCGGGAGCTACTCAGGAGGGGGATAGGTTCTGGTCTAGGCCTCTGGCGGTTCACGGCCCTTTAAGCCGACTGCCCAGCATGACCGTAATCGCGTGGCTCAGCCCCAAGGATAAAGCAGGTATGAACTGCACTGACGATGTCTTGCTAATTAAATGTAGGTAGAGGTGTGCAGTCTTTTTTCTTTATATGAAGTTATTAAAAGGCTTAAGGAGGCACATCAAGGTCCTCTGAATCGAGACTTTGTGCACAATCCTGTCACTGAATGTCAGGATTCAGAATGCAGGAACCTTAAAGATCACTCCTCGGGAATTGCTCTGACTCAGCATTTGTTTTTTGGAGGTGCTAAAGTCACCCCTTCCCTGGTATGTGAAAAGAACACAGTGCTTGCTGTTTGATTTCCAGGGAGCTTTCAACATTTGTCTATACGTATAACATTATGTTTGGTTTTTATTATTTATTTATGTTTTGAGGTAGGATGGGAGAGGAGAAGGATTAGGAGCTGTTAAGAGGCCAGGGATCTTACCAAAAAGAGACAGGAGGCAGACAGATGGACAGAGCGACCAGAAGTCTGATCTGTTTTGCACCAGCGTTCCTGACAGCTCTGAAATGGAAGGACTGGCAGGCGTGGTGCACACCTATAACTCAGCATGCTGGGAGGCCGGGGTGGGGCACCACAAGTTCGAGCCCACCCTGGGAAGCTGAACACTTTCAGAAGAGTCTGTCTCAGAATTTAGAAAGGAAGGGCAGTGTGCTGGGGATGTGGCTCCTTGTAAAGGTTATGGGTTTAATCCCCAGTACTTAGAGAAAGAAAACAGATGATCTTTAAGGATCTTTCTAACTCTGCCATCCAGTATCATGTAGTGGAATTATGTAGTAAGGTCTTGACTTAGAGGAAGACCTGGCTCAAGTCCTTTTCCTTTGTTGTTTTCTTACCAGTCGTAGCTGTTGGCCAAGTCCATTGGCAGTGAACCTGTGGCACATGTTTCTTGTATGATTGAAAGCTCTGGAAGGTTCTCCGTCGATGGCCAGCTGATTCTCCTGTAGCTTCCTCTGTAAAATGGGAACACCACACACATAGCCGATTGAAGGTGATGATAACAGGTGTTAAATAGAAAAGGCTATAAATTGTTTTACCTGTAACAGTAAAGGCGGGCTTGTAGCCCCATATCGGAAGGTGCACACCTGTTTCACTGACAGATTCAGTGCGCAGGGTCCAGCCTCCCTCAGCAGAGTGGGTTTTCTTCATCCCCTGCCAAGCCTGTGGTTGACTTAATCATCTCTTTGGTCCTGGATCTGCGGTCTTACCTCCTGACAGCACCTCCACGTCTCCACTCCTGTGCTATGCGTTTGAACAGATACATGAATGACTCCCAGGCACAATTTCATTGAAAAATAATTAAATAAATGACATTGCAATTGTATATTTATATTGGGTTTTGCGTTATATAATTATTTTAAC